CTGCAGCAATCACCTCTTCCAGCCGGTTCACCTTACATTCATTCCCACTCCCAGAACTCCTTGATGGCCAACTGCTGAGCCTCTGAGGAGTTCTGTGCACAGATCCAGTTGCTTTTTGGCTTTCTTCAGTCCCAGTTTAGGATTCAACTTTCTCAAGTCAACTCTATCACCAACATTTGTCTGCTTACTGGCTTCCAGAATTTTGTTGCTATTGTCTCCTATTCTCTTTGCCCTTGTGGGATTATGTCTTTTTTTTTTTTCTTCTTTAATGCCTTTCTTGTCATTTTAGTGTGATTTCAAGAGAGAAATAGAGGGATATCTGCCACCTTTAATCAAGAGCAGGTCATTTAATTCTTAAATCAACCCCTGTTTTTCAGATGAGGACAGTGGCACGCAAAGAGGTTGAGTAATGTGCCTAAACCACTGATAAAATGATACAGTCAGGATTGCGCCCAGGCAGCTGAACTCCACAGTTCAATTCTTAACCACTCTGCCCTGCAGTCCTGCTATAAACCAGAAGCTACAGGTGATAGATCTTTACTGAGAGGGAACATCTTAGATTACAGGTGTGAAAAATGGTGCAGAGAGGCTCTGGCTTGGGAATTGGCAATGTGTATGAGATTCCATTAATATAATGGCATTGTTCCATAACACAGGAATTAGAAATTGCTCATGAATAATAGATTGCATCTATTTCTCTGAACCAAAGGCCTTCCAGGAGAACTTTTTGCGTATTTCGTTTTAGAACAACTAAAATGATGTCATTTCCAGAACAATTTTATTTTTTATTTTATTTTTTTTGTGCATCTGAAAAAGAATGCACACAACCAAGGGATTCTCTCAGAGTGTGAACATTTTCAGACAATAGTCACACAGCTGAGGAGTGGCTCATTGTAATCAAAATTGCACTTTATATTTTTTCTATTTCCTGAAACAATCTGGAACTAATGTGACTCAGCAACCCACTTCCTGTTCATTAAGTTACAAAAAAGCAAAAAACCAAACCCGTTGCCTTTGAGTGGATTCTGACTCATAGCGACTCTATAGGACAGAGTAGAACTGTCCTATAGGGTTTCCAAAGAGCAACTGGTGGATTCAAACCGCTGATCTTTTTGGCCAGCAGCAGTGGCATGCCGTAGCTCTTAACCACTGTGCAACCAGGGCTCCCATTGAGTTACAAGCCACCTAAAATGATGACAAACCAGTTTTCTGTTGGAAGAGGAAACAGTTCTGTTTAAATTCAGAACGCTACACTAACACTTTTAGGGAGTCCTGAAATAAGATCTCTCTCCTACCTTGAGCTCAACAGTGCATCCTTTGCAAGCTTTGAGATGTCTCTAGATCCATTCTTACTGGTTCTAGCTACAGGCTTTCCATAGTAATGTGTAACATTCATTCTTTGGTGTATTGGGGGGATTAAAAAAAAGAGAACACTGTTATTTGAGGCTGGGCTTCTAAACTACCTCACTCAGATTCTGAAAATTAAAAAAGTTTACAGCATTTTTGCTTGCATCATAAGGACTTATGATTTGACGCAGTTACGTGGATACTAGAAATAACTCTACACCACTCCACTTTGTATTCTCACTTTTTGCACACACAGTCTATCCTAGATCCCAGATGTATGTTATTTAAAAAAAAAAAAAAAAAGAGTATTACTTAAGTGTTGCTTCAGTTTTATTTCTTCATCTGTCAAGGCGAGGTAGTGTTACTTTCCTTTGTATTAGTTTCCTCAGGTTGCCGTAACAAAGTACCACAAACTGAGTGGCTTAAAACCACACAGTTTTTTTCTCTCAATAGTTCTGGAGGCTAGAAGGCTGAAATCAGAGTGTTGACAGGGCCATGCTCTCTCTGAAGGTTCTAGGGCAGAATCCTTCCTTGCCTCCTCCTAGCTTCTGGTGGTTGCCAGCAATCTTTGGCATTGCTTGGCTTGTAGACACAACATTCCAGTCTAACTCTGACATCACATAGCCTGCTTCCTCATTGTGTTGGTGTGTGTGTGTGTGTCTGTGTGTCTGTGTCTCTTCTCCTCCTCTTATAAGGACACCAGTCATATTGGATTAGGGCCCACTCTCAACTTAACCTGATAACATCTCCAAACACCCTGTTTCAAATACGATCACATTCACAGGTAGTGGGTGTTAAGACTTCAGCATATCTTCTGGGGGGACACAATTCAATCCACAACAGCTTGGGGCACATGTTTGTTGTGAAAATAAAATGAAAAATTGAGGTGAACAAACTATTCGCATGTATAGTATTTATTATCCAGATTACTAAATTACTTAAAAAAGCATCTTGGGATGGAGGGGGGAAATATCCTGGAAGGGCATTAAGCTGGAAGTTAGGAGACCTAGAATCAAGTGACGACTTGTCTGTAATGAGCTGAGAATCCTTGGGCAGGCCACTTTCCTTGTTGGGTACTCATATGAGCATGTATGTCATGGCTAAAGTATCTCCGATTCTATGAAAACCTGTAACTATGTTGGGAAAATGGGGGGAGGGGGGAATAGAAGGAGAAACTTCGTAAGTCTGAAAACAGTAGGCCAGTTTGTTTTCTTCTCTTTCCATGGAGGAGCCTTAGTGGCACAGTGGTTAAAGTGCTGGGCCGCTAAGTGAAAGGTCGACAGTTTGAACCTACCAGCCGCTCCACGGGAGAAAGATGTAGCAGTGTGCTTCTGCAAAGATTTACGGCCTTGTAAACCATATCGGGCAGTTCTGCTCTGCGCTATAGAGTTGCTGTGAGTTGGAATCAACTCAATGGCAACGGGTTTGATTTTGGTTCCCTTTCCGTGAGCGTCTCAGGCAGGATCTCTGATTGTTTGGGCCTTGGCCACAGTATAATAAGCTACTCACTTAATGGGCACAAGTGAGGTAATGACATACAAATCGGACAATTCCTCTCTCTGTAGGTTAATGAAGGAGCCCTGGTGGAGCAGAGGTTAAGTGCTTGGCTGCTAACAGAAAGGCTGATAGTTCGAACCCACCAACTGCTCTGCAGGAGAAAGATGTAGCAGTCTGCTTCTGTAAAGATTTCAGCCTTGGAAACCCCATACGGCAGTTCTACTCTGCCCTATAGGGTTGCTGTGAGTCGAAATGGACTCGACAGGAATGGATTTTGTTTTGGATTTGGTAGGCTGATGGCCTGGGTCAGGTGATATAATCAGAGAGAACCAGGAATTTGACTCTGTCTGCTGTAATTGCTTTTTACAGACTGGAGACAGATTCTTTCCGTAAAGTTTGTAAGCAAAGCAAAGAAAAGGCCCTATCTGGGTTAGTCCTATTTGCATGTCTCCCCTCTGCTATGTCTCAGAGAGGGTTCTTCTTCAGTGCGTTGTGACTGACGCCATGATCTGGGGCTGGGAAAGACACCCCTCTTGAGAATCTCTCAAATCATCCTGGAATTCCATTCTTGCTTTTTCTTAATATTTTAAGCCTTGAGACCTACGAGTCCCTGAGATTGTAATATAAATTCACCAAATTTGTTATCTTTGTCTTATGTATCAGAATTAATTTGTTTTCCCAATGTTCCTTCTTCAGCTTTGCCTACATCTCCTCATTTCTCACTTTTTTCCCTCTTCCTCATCCAGAAAGATAGTTGAACTTGGTGGGGCAGGTCTTAGATATATAATTACCTCTTCAAAGAGGGATTCCCTGGGGGATTACTCTTATTGCTTACTTTATACATTGTTCATATACTGAATTTGATATGGAATGTATGATTCACCTGTTAAAATTCAGAAGGTTTTTTTTAACATTCTAATGACATGACTTTTTAATAACTGCTAAGTGTTAAAGGGTATTTTATGTCTTTTTAAAGTATATATATGTTCCTTAGCATGAATCTTTTCTATTTTAATTTAAGACTTTTTTCTCTGGAACGTCAAAGGAAAATAAAATTTCAGATGGAAAGGCTTATTGTATGATGTATCTCATAAGTTTTGTACATGTAAATTTACCCAGAAATGTCTTTTATAAGCAGTCTCAAATACATAAGGAGCCCTAGTGGTGCAGTGTTTAAAGAGGTCAGCTGCTAACCAAAAAGTTGTTGGCTTGAACCCACCAGCCGCTCCCTGCGGGAGGAAGATGTGGCAGTGTGCTTCCATAGACATTTACAGCCTTGGAAATCCTATAGGGTCGCTACGAGTCAGAATCAACTCAACTGCAGTGGGTTTGGTTTGCTTTGCTCTCAAATACATAAGTCTGCTTTTCCTCCCTTGATAAATGTAGTGTTTGGGGTTTTTTAATAGCATGCTTGACTTTTCTAGAATGGGGGACGTAATGAGCCTTAGAATCATCTTTCCACATCACTTCTTGGGGGCGGGTACGCTAGACATACAATTTACAGCAGATGCATGGCTGGCTCCATGTCAGCGCTTCTCTGTCACCTGGACATGCTTGATTCTGAGAGGTGTTTAATCAGCACTCAGGAGTGTAGTACAGGGAACATGTGGCTCACTGGAGGAGGTAGTTATTCGGCTTCTACAAAATCAAAGTTTTACTGTATTTTAGGAACCTTGGAATTCCCTGTGGGGTTAGGATTTGCCTTTTAAGTTCTAGTTTAGTGTTTGTTGCAACTTGCATGGTAGGAAGAAGTTCTAGCCACAAGTCAAGAGACCTGGGAGCTAGTTGTGGCTTTGCCATTGGCCTCCTGTGACCACCTGTGTGACCACCTGTTGGACCACCTGTGTGACCACCTGTTTGACTTTGACCAACAAGTTTCTTCACATGTTGAATGAGAGACCAAATGGCCCCTGGGGCACTTTCCAGTTTAAAATCTCCCTGGTTCTATCTGGCGAGAGGTGTGCTGAGGAGGAGCTTGCCAGTGTGAGGCTTTGTGGCTCCAAGTGTCTCCAGGGCTGGGCTTTGACCCGGTAAACTTTTTTCTCACATGACACCTGTTTGCTGCTCCTCATGGCTTGAGATCATTGTTGGAAGGGATAACAGTAAGTAATCTCAGGTCAGTCTGTCCCAACAGCTGTGTGCTCTCTGCTTTTCAGATGCCCAGGACAGACGGGCCCCAAGATCCATGCGGACCTGAGGAACCCAAGGGGAACTTGGAAAGTCCCAAACAGGGCAGCAGTAAAATGAAGCTCAAGAGTCGTCTTTCAGGTGAGTGGCAGCTCTTTGCCTGATACAACCTGCCTGAAAATGAGCTTCCAGCCTCAGGACTAGGGAGATAAAGCCAGCTAGGAGGTTAGCACTTTGTTTCCTTGGAACCTCTGCACTGTTTTCTGTTTAGGTAGTACATGCCCCAGGCATAAGGGCTGAGTTCAGCTTGGCTGCCCATGTGAATATTTTCATTTGAGGTACCACAAAGCGAATGTCAACATCTCTGTTTGTTTCCATTTAAACTTAAATTTTCCTATATGTTTGGTTCATTTATTTCAGTAGATGACCCTTTCACTGTGGAATATCCCTGATGGCCGGCAAACACACCTCTCCCCAAACCCTTGGTCTACCCTTGGTTCCAGATGGCAGGCAGCCATTTATCTAATGTCAAATCTGCCTCTCAACTAAGCAAGGGATAACATGGGATGGAGTTGCAGATGTTGGAGCAAATGGGTTCTGTATCTCCTGGACATATGCTTAGAGCAGCTGGCCTGCACCTTGAGAGAGAAAATGTTGAAAGAGGTTGTATGTGCAGGGTCCCATTACGACTTTCAGGGGCCCTAGGCACTTTTGCCTTCATAAAAAATTTTTTTGAAAAATTATACCAACTGTGTTGGTATATGCAGGCTAGATTCCTTTATATTCATTATTATGATGTTCATTTTTTTCCTTCTGATTGTAAAAGAAGTTAAAATGTTTTTGTGGGCCTCTAAAAGTGCTGTGGGCCCTTAGTCCCCTGCCTTTCATGCCTAGTGCAGGAGCCTGCCTGTCTATCCGCACATAAAAGACAGCTGGGATAGCTGGAAATGGGAGCGTTTACATGTCAGCTCTGAGTTACTGTGTGACCTTGGGCTAGTTATCTAACCTCCCTGAACTTCCACTCCTTCACCTGAAAAAAAAGTATAATAATCTTGACTTTCAAAAAGTTGAACATATTTTTTTAAGCACACATAAATGCACCCAACACAGTGTGTAGTATTTTTTAAAAAAAAAAAAAACAGCTGCTGTAGAGTGAATTCCAACTCATGGAGACCCCTGTTTGGGTTAATGGACTCAGCTGCTACCTGAAAGGTTGGCGGTTCAAGTCCACCCAGAGGTGCCTTGGAAGAAAGGCCTGGCAAGCTCCTTCAGAAAAACCAGCCATTGAAAACCCTATGGAGCACAGATCTACTCTGACACACATGGGGTCACCATGAGTCAATACCAACTCAATAGCAACTGGTTGATTAAGGTAGCAAGTATAGGGCTACAAAACACATCATTTTAAAAAACCTGGGGAATGAAATGAATCTTTATCTGGTATTTGTAACTTGGAATAATCAGGCAGTGTACATCTGAGCAAGTGCTAGAATGTAGACTTGTGACCAAAAAGAATGGTGATAGCCAGAGGCTGAGGAGGAGAAGTCTGAGGGGAGATGTGGTGCCCAGGGCCTTATGTAGAGAGAAGGACTCCCCTGAGCCCTGAGGAACAACAAGGGGAAGGAATGTAAATCCTGTTTGTGTTGGTGGGGAGTAGAGAGAGTCACGGGGACACAGAGAAGAGATCTTTAGTTCAGCTTTGTTGGACGGGGTTGATCAACACCTTATAAATGCATTCCCAGAGCGCTGAGGAAATACAGAGACCTTTGAAACCAGTGTGATCTCATTCCTAAGTGTATGGACGAGGACGGAGAAGTTCAGAGAATCCCAAAGGTCACTCATGCATTGCCAGGAAAAGCCTCTTTCAGACAGAGTTCTTTGTATCCACACCTCTGCTTCCTGGGGATCTTGAAAAGAATTTTGTTTTCCCCATCTGGGGCTTTATAGATACAGACAAGGGAGGTGGCTATAGCTGGAGGACCTTGCAGATCCGTGATTCTCCTACTCTGTTCATACTGTCAGTTTAAAATGAGCAGCATATTCCGCTGACTGGTAAATCCAGGACTGGCTTCTATTTGCCACAGATGGGTGCACCTTCTCTTCCTGTGTCCTTCTCAGGTGTTCAGGGCCATAGCAAGGAAATGTAGAATAGGGGAAGGAGCACATGCATGAAATAAGGTAGAACTGTGTTCAATGCCCAGCTCTGCCACGATTGGCTGTGTGACCTCAGACTAGTTACTTAGTCTCTCTGGGTCTCAGTTTCTTCACCTACAAAATGAAGACTATACTCTGCATTTATTCTGCAAATAAACATGAGTGGCTACCAAGTGCCAGACCTTGTTGAAAAGGTCAAGTTGAGAGAATGTATATGGATGTGATATATCCCAGGCCCTCATGCGGTAGTCATCACTGTTATCACCGTTGTCATCATTAATATCATTTCATCATAATCATTTTCATTGTAATTGTTCTCTCTTCTTTTCCTCTCAAGAGGGGAAGATGCTTGAATGGGTTCAGACAGGAAGCCCTTCTCAAGAACTTGTGGTCCCAGTGAGGAGGTTACACACTTGTACATGGAATGATGGCTGACAATAAAGCACACACAAGAGTTATAAAAACATGATGTCTGAGTTGTGGTACTCAGAGAAGGCTTCCAGAGGATGCAAGATTAAAGGAAGGCCAGAACTTTGGCTGGATTTGGTAGAATAGGAGAACAGTGATCTAGACTTGGAGCAAAATGGATGAGAGATATTTAGGGACAATGGATTTAAAAAATAATAATTAGCTAGTGATTTGTTTGGCAACTTTTTTTCCCTCCTCAGCATCTGAGAGATCCAGTGTAATATGACAATGACAATAATTCAGTCCAGCAGGGCTTGTCAGAGAGATTAGGGGAAAGGATGTAGCAAAATCTTAGGGTGGGAAATGATGATCCAGGCAAGTTATGTAAAACCTCAGGTAATACTCATATGCTCCCCACTTTTGGGAGGGAGGCAAGAGGAGGACAAATCCTCTGCTTTGAGAATCATCAGGATATAGCAAAGGATTGTTGTAGCAGGGCAGTAGGAGATAAGATTGGAAAAGTAATTTGGAGCAGTTTAAAGAGACTTAAGGAATTGGGTCTTCATTCAGTGCTGTGGAATAGGCTGTCTAAAGATGTTTGAATATAAGAGATTTTAATGTGATCAGCCCCTAATTTGTCTGTCCTGTAAATTTGGACATTTATTTCATATTTGCATAAAGCAAGTCACTCTGGTGTCTGTGTGTCATTGTATTATCGAAAGACACAACCATATGTGGTTTCTCATCTGCTCATGGGAAATGTCCCCTGTCAGCTCAGAAGGAATTTTCTTCTAATAAATCTTTTTCAGATGAGTAGGCATGCCAAGAGAGATTAATCTGGCCATGAATTTTTGAGTCATGAATTATTAAGAAGGTTCTGTAAAGAGGTTCCAGCCATTTCCACGAAGGTTTGGACAGTCTGGCTCCAAAATGACTAAAGCAACGTTATCTATCATTTCATGAAACCTTTTTCTGATATTCTAACTCGGAATTTTCTTTACTTCATACCTCCCTTTGTGCCCACAGGGTTCCCTTTCAATTTTGATATTTTTTATTTATTCACCTTAATAGCTTAGGGTAGTGATTTTTTTTTAACATTTTATCATGCTTTAGGTGAAGGTTACAGAGCAAATTGGTTTCCCATTCGATAATTTATATACAAGTTGTTCCATGACATTGATTGCAGTCCCCACAATGTGTCAGCACTCTCCCCATTACCACCTTGAATTCCCCGTTTCCATTCATCTGGTTTTCCTGCCCCTTCCTGCCTTCTCATCTTTGATTTTGGGCAAATGTTGCCCTTTCGGTCTCATATAGATGATTGTTCTAAGAAGCACTTTCCTCACGGGTGTTATTGTTTATTTTCTAGGGCTGTCTGTTATTTGGGTGAAAGGTTATCTCTGGAAGTGGCATCCGTTCCAAGTTAGAAGGGTGTATAAAGGCCATAGTCTCGGGGGTTCCTCCAGTCTCTATCGGACCAGTAAGTCTGGTCTTTTTTATGAATTTGAGTTTTGTTCTACATTTCTTTCCCCACTGTAACTGGGACCTTCTATTTTGATCCCAGTCAGAGCAGTTGATAGTGGTAGCCAGGCACCATCTAGTTCTTCTGGTCTCAGTCTAGTAGAGGCTGTGGCTTCTGTGGCCCATTAGTCCTTTGTACTGATTGCTTCCTTGAGTCTTTGGTCTTCTTCACTGTCCTTTGCTCCAGGTGGAAAGAGACCAATAGTTGTATCTTAGACGGCTGCTTGCAAGCTTTTAAGACCCCAAACGCTACTGCCAAAGTGGGATATAGAACATTGTCTTTATGAACTGTGTTATGCCAGTTGACCTAGATGTCCCCTGGGTAGTGATCTTCTGAAATGCAAACTTTTCCTTTGCTGCCAAGGAATTCAGGAGTTTGAAAATCTGTATCACAAAGCTAATAGTTGGCTTTTAAAAAACCAAGCCTTTAGTGATGTCCATTATAATATAACTCTATCAGCACTATTTTATCAACATTTAAAACTCATCAATGTTTATTTTTAAGACAGTACAGAATCTTTTTATTCCATGAAATCATTGTTTTATTTTATGAAAAAGTATCTGAGAAATTGTTAGGTAAATTGAAATTTTAGATCATCAAACATTACGTAGTCTGGGAGAATTTGATATTCAAAATCATGTGTATATATACATATATACATACACAGATATACACACATTCATATATATATACACATATATATTCTGTAATGTGATTATAGATATATTCATATAAAATTGTTCTATCATTTAAGATTAAAGTTCCTTAAGTTATCTTATTTAAAATATCATATAATATAAATTAGGTACTGATAAAGGTGTTTTTAAAAATCATTACTATTAAGGATTTTTTGAACAGAACACAAAAGCATGAAACATAAAGAAAAAATTATATATTGTACTACATTAAAATTATGAACTTTCATCAAAAAATATCATTAAGAAAGTGAAAAGGGGGTGCTGTGGGGACCATGGTCTCGGGAACATCTAGCTCAATTGGCATAACATAGTTTATGAAGAAAATGTTCTACACTCTACTTTGGTGAGTAGTGTCTAGGGTCTTCAAAGCTTGTGAGCGGCCATCTAAGATACTCCAGTGGTCTCATCCCATCGGGAGCAAGGGAGAATGAAGAAAACCAAAGACACAAGGGAAAGATTAGTCCAAAGGACCACAGCTACCATGACCTCCACCAGACTGAGTCCAGTACAGCTAGATGACTCCTGGCTACCACTACCAACTGTTCTGACACGGATCACAATAGAGAGTCCCGGACAGAGCTGGAGAAAAATGTAGAACAAAATTCTAACTCACAAAAAAAGACCAGACTTACTTGGGTCTTACAGAGACTGGAGAAACCCCAAGAGTATGCCCCCCAGACACCATTTTAGCTCAGTAATGAAGTCACTCCTGAGGTTCACCCTTCAGCCAAAGATTAGACATGACCATAAGACAAAATGAGACTAAATGGACACACCAACCTCGGGGCAAGGACTAGAAGGCAGGAGGGGACAGGAAAGCTGGCGATTGGGAACCCAAGGTCGAGAAGGGAGAGTGTTGACATGTCATGGGGTTGGTAACCAATGTCACAAAACAATATGTGTACTGACTGTTTAATGAGAAGCTAGTTTGTTCTGTAAACCTTCATCTAAAGTACAATAATAAAAAAATAAAAAAGAATTTATCTAAGTTAAGTTATAGAATAGTTTGTAAAGATGTATGTAGAGGGATCACTCCATTACTTAATTACATAAAGATATTAGAAGCAAATTTTCAGCAATAGAGGAACGATCAAATAAACTATGCTATATCTTACAATCATTAAAACTTATTTTTTCTTAAAAAAAAAAAAAAGAGTGAAAAAGGTAAGCCACAGAGCGGGAGAACATATTTATAGTACATGGATCTTACAAAGGATTCATATCCGAGATATATTAAAAATGAAAACTCCAATAAATCAACAAGAAAAAGGAACCCAATAAAAGAATGGGCAAAATTCTTGAACAGGCACATTACAAAGAGGATAGCTAAACCTCCAATGAGTATATGAAATGAAGCTCAATCTCATTAGTCATCAGGGAAATGCAAATTAAAACTACAATAAGATTACATTACATACCTACCAGAATAACTAAAAAAAGACTGACACTACCAAGTGTGATGAGAATGTGGAGAAACTGGAACTCATTCATGCTGCTGGTAAAGCATGGACAAGACTGAATATATGCCTGTGATCCAGTAATTCCACTCCTAGCTATACATCCAACAATGATGATATGTACAAGGGAAAATTGCAAGAATCCATAGCAGTATATTCTAGATCAGGGTTCAGCAAACTATGATACATTGCTGTTTTTGTATGGCCCACAAGCTAAGAATGTTTTCTACATTTTTAATGGAATGTGAAAAAAAAAAAGAACAGGTAACACAAGCCATTTGTGGTCCACAAACCTAAAATACTTACTATTTGACCTTTACAAAAAAAGTTTGCTGACTCTTACTCTAGATCTAAAACAGAAAGAAGACAAATGTTCATCAATAATAGATTGAACAAATAAATCATGATAACGTTTGTACAATTAAATACACAAATGGGAAAGAACAAACTATTGCTACATGCAACAACATGGTTGAATCTCACAAACATAAATGCTAAGGACAAGAAGCCAGAAACAAAAAAGTACGTATTGTACGAGTTCATTTATATAAAATTTGAAAGCAGCCAAAATTAATGTATAATACTGGAAGTCAGGATAATGGTTACCCTTGGATAGAGGTGACTAGTGGCACAAAAGTGGCTTGGTTCTGGTAATATTCTATTTTATGATCTAGGTGTTAGTTACCAGTGCATTCATTTTGTGAAATTTTATTGAACTGCACATATACTTAATGATTTGTGCACATTTCTGTAAGTTGTACTTTAATAAAAAGTATATATGAAAAGTCTGTTACTATATAAAAGTCATTTCTCTATATAAAAAGCATCTTCCACAACGATGGAACTAGACCAACCACAGAGTTCTGTTTCTCCATCACTAGAAAACTGTCTACCTATAGCGTTCTCACTATTGTTTATTATCAACCACAGCTGCATCTTAGTCGGATCAAACATAGACACTGCCCCTCATCAGTTTCTTCATAGCCTGGCATTAATGGCCTCAACTCACAGCCACCTTATGGTTGAACTTGGTGAGCTCAGAGCCTTGAGTGGTTTGAGTATCAGGCCTTCTGAAAACCATGAATGTGGGTGTAAAAGCAACAACTTTATGCCTGCATATGCTTTTATGATTCTTTTCGTCCCTTATAAAGCCACGTGTTGTTTTTTTTTCCTTCTGTTTTCAAGGGGGTGTACACCGTCTAGAATCTGTTGAAGAATACAACGAACTGATGGTGCTAAACGGAGACCCCAGAGGTAGGATGTTGGACGTCTCCCGAGATGGCCGAAAGCACTCTCTTCCTCAACTGCTGGACTCTTCTGGAGCCGCACAGGTCGGTCAAGTACCACGGATCCTCTTACGCAGACACAGTTGCTGGTAGGGATAGAAGAGCATGTTTCCAGACCTTAGGTCGCTAAGCTTTTTTTATTTTATCCTTCAAAGACCAGCAGGAGTTTCCCTGTTCTAAAGAACAGACCATTGATGTGGGCCAGGAGTATTTGGGGTTAGGATACTGTGAGAGATGTAGAAAGAGAGATCTATCCAGAGAGGCTAGAAGAAAGTCAGCTCAATATTTGAAAATATTAGGGGGGAAAAAATCCCTTATTGGAACCCAGCTTCTTGACCCCCTTCCTGCTGTGTGTTTTGGAACTAAACGCTGCACTCAATTGCCAGGAGACAATGACGTCTCACAGTCTGTGGTTGAACCACCATCGTTTGTTTAATGGGAGTGTCATGTGTCAGTGTAACAACCGTGTGGGTGGGTATGGGAATGTATGTGAGAGAGGGAAGGAGTGTGTGTGTGCCTGTGCCATGCCTGGGGTCCTACCTGTGAACACCATGATGACTGAAGACAGCCAAGGTCCAAGGGACTACAGAGAGAGGTGAAGTGGCTGGTTATGTTGATATTCCAGGCCTTGTCCCCTCAGAGCTCCAGGCTCCATAATCCTGCAGTGGGGCTGCTCCTCAGTTGTATTATCCTCAAATCAGTAGAAACTGGGTGAATAGTCTCATAACTGAGTTGGAAGCAGGCTCAGTGACTAGGAAATTTGTGGGGTGTTCACTGAGTCCTGATAGCATCAGGTCACAGGGCTGAAGAGAAGCCATTGGCATCTTGTCCCAAGGCCTATGATGAAGCAGAGATGGAGAAGGAGGGTGTGACAACAATAACACCCCAAGTACTTGGAGATTCATAGATTGTAGAGTTGTAAAGGACCTGAGTCAGGTCATCTGGGTCATGCCCTTACTTTTGGTGTGTTATGACTATTTTACAGATAGGACAACTGAAAATCAAAGAGGTTAAGTATTTCGCTCAAGATGATAAGCCAGAATCACTGTGAAGAAAGGTACATGAATATAGTTGGTTACATACCATGAGGAAGTATTTGTGTTGCTTCTAACACTCTTTACCTGACCAGGGTGTCCATGACTCAGAGGCAGTTTGCTGACCAAGCTGTTTTGTGTTAAATTCATCCAAAGGTAACTCTAGGGGGAGTTGTTGTTGTTAGGTGCTGTCAAGTTGGTTCAAACTCACAGCGACCCTCTAGGGGAGTGTGCACTGAGAAAAAGCACAGCAAAAATCTTGCTCAGGACATGGTTAAAACTTGTCTAGACCTGTGACCAGACAGGCCTGTGGCCTCAGAATGATCCAGTTAGACCAGCAGGGCCAGATGAAGATCACGAAGTTATAGGAGAGCCATGTTGTCAGGCAGAGTTTGTTGCGAAAGATGAGAGAGGGTTGTACTGCCATCACCATGTGGATATCTCATGTTCTGATGGTGATTTCTGAGCCGAGCCACTGAGGAAACCTGGCCATAGTTACAGCCCAGAACCATCCATTTCTAACCAGGCTTCCAGGAACCAGGAAACACGGACTAGTGAAGAAAGTTTTAGAAAAACAGAGTTCTTTCCTCTTCAGATTGTCCTTTTTCACTCCTGTCTTTCTCATTTTCTACGCTTCTCCTTTTCTCTCAGAGTTTACCTTTCCTTTTTTTTCTCTCTCTCTCCCTCCTCCACAATTATTATGTAGAATTGCCAGTTGCCATCAGGTCTACTCTCACTCATGGTGACCCCATATGTGTGAGAGTAGAACTATGATCCATAGGGTTTTCAGTGGCTAATTTTTTGGAAGTAGATTGTCAGTCCTTTCTTCCATGGCATACTTGGGTAGACTTGATCCTCCAACCTTTTAGTTAGCAATCGAGCACATTAATTATTTGTACCACCCAGGGAGTCCATTGTCTAGAATATCCAGTAGGACTTTGTGCAGTAATGGAAATGTTCTGTACCCATACTGTCCAATGTGGTAGCCACTAGCCAATATGTCTACTGAGCTCTTGAAAAATAGCTAGTGAAACTGTGGACTGCTTTCCTTATTTTTATTTTAATTTTAGATAGCTACAGGTGGCTAGTAGCTATCACAGTGAACAGCACAGGTCTACAAAGTGCAAGACAGCTCCTGAAACTCTTCAAGAGATGAGTGAAGCATGCTGGCCTTTGGTTCTACTGGTTCCCACAGGGAGATGGAGTGAGGTGCTGGTGGAGACTGGTGATCAGAGAAAGAATTCCCTTTTAAGTCCCAGCATGAACCTCTACGTTCTAGGATTGAAAACCCATGAGCTAGGTCTTGCCATGTCTATGATGGTTTCAGTATAGGGGTAGTAACCTTGCCAAGCCCACATCATTTCTTTAATGAATCAGCATCTGGGAGGCCAACATTGCTGGCAGATATTTTATAAAACTGAAAAATATAATTGTTCTAAGCTGCCAGGAATACAAAAATATGATTGGCAGGCATCTCCTTTCTACCTTTGAATGTAGAATACAGACATTAAAAATAAAAATATTTTGTGATACTGTTTTGCTGATGTTAAATCTGAATTGGTTTTTTGTTTTGCTTATGCTAGAATATCTGCTTCATGTAAGAAATTTATTATTCTAAGAACAATAGTAAGGAGCTAGGCAGTAGAAATGCTTTAGCAGTAAATTCACTTAATCTCTTATTTGTTATAAATAATGTACCCTGCTTCCACGCGTGTATATTGTGGGTGACGGACAAGAAAAAGGGATGGAGATTTGATCTGCCATGTGCCAGGAAGGGAGATTGTGGTTTATGGGAAAATAGTTTATTTTCCAAATGTGAAGGATTAGAACTAAGCTGCTGCTGTTTCTCAGCAGGATGTTTTATGTGGAATAACAGTTGTCTGGGTTTGTGGTTTGGGCTTTATAAGAAATAAGGGTTTGCTGAGTTTTTCGGTGAGTGATATAAACTTGAAATGGTGATACTTTCTAACCATGATTTTGACCTTGGGATTGGGGAGGGATGTGGCTTCCAAGGGAGAACCTGACCACAGGTGGTCATCTTACGTCTCTAAGGCCCCTTGATTTCTGGTTCCTCCATTCCAGAAGGCAAAAAGTAGGATCTGTGGCACGCGGTCGAGGAGAGAGAAACACGAGATGCTTGTGGTCTTTAGATATTTCTTTCTGTGGAGGAAGAAAGCATGGCAATCTATTGCAGTAGTGCTACTCCTCCAGTATTATTGATAATAAACCTGTAAGCCATTGGAACAGGTAGACCAGAGGAAAACGACTGTCCAACACAAAAGACAACTGAGATTTTCAAAGGCTGAGTATATTTTTATGCCAGGGACCACAACAGGATAAATGAGACTACCTCTCGCTTGCCCTGTGCTGCCTTTTAGGAATACCACATCATGAAGAAGTCAACCCGCTCCCTAAGCACTACTCAGGTGGAATCCCCATGGAGACTCATCCGGCCATCGGTTATCTCCATCATTGGGCTGTACAAAGAAAAAGGCAAGGTGAGTCTTTGCACAGGCTGTTGTGCTCTCCAGGTGAACATGAGCATATTTTTTTTAAATGAATGGTTACTTTTTATTACTGTTGTTTTTACGATATAAGAGGGTTAAAGAGGAATAGATTAACTTATTGTTGCATGGATTTGAGGGCATTCCCTGGCATTTCGTTCCTGTGGCTTCAGATTGTGCAGTGGTCACATGCTCTTTGTTCTTTTGCTATGGCCCCAGAGCACAACCAAGGATGGAATGAATGCTTCCAGTTTTTATCTACTATTGCAAGTAAAGCAGAACCTGCAGCTCCAGGGAAAACTCCCCATTATCCTTTTAAATGAATTTCATGGCATTTCCATTATCATAAATGGAATGCTATAAATAACTATCAAAACAAATCCGTTTTGATATTATGCAAAACGAAAAGATGCAAATAAAAGAATAAAACAAATAATAGCACCTGTATAGTGTGAAATGACTCTTGTGAGCTATTTAGTGAATCCATATGAAACTGCCATTTAGGTAGGTCAAAGATTGTTGAATATTGGCAATTTCATATGTTACAACCTATAACTTTCTCCGTTTAATGTAATGCATGGCTAATGCAATGTATATAGATCCAAGGAAGGAAATGGAGAAGGATATGCAAGCTTGAATTTACAGCAAGTTGATTAGGTTAACTCTGAGCCTGGTTGGAATGACACCTTCAGTTAATACGGGGGACCCCATCTGCTTCGGGTGTAGGGCCTTGGCTTTAGCATTGCTGGAGGTCGAGACTGCATTCGAGGACAGATGGGAATTTTTGTCAAGACCATTTTCCCAAATGGATCAGCTGCAGAAGATGGAAGACTTAAAGAAGGTAGGAGAACGCCTCTTGGTGGTCTTCAGTGACTGTAAGCTTTGATTCTGTGAGAATCTGCAAGATGTGGCAGGTGTGGCATAGCAGCCAAGGCTTGGGAGTCCAGTAGACCTGGGTTGAATCCAACATTTAACCACTCCTGACCTTGGACAATTGATATAACCTCAGCTTCCGTTTCCTCAGTTGTAAACTTGGAACCTTTATACCTACTTGGATGAGTTGCTGTGAGGATTAAATGAAATAATATATGAAAAGTGTCTTAGTATTTTTATTAGGCTCTTTATGTGACTATATTGAAAATTCCTGAGCATTTGAGATCCATTCTTGCATCTGAGCTGGGATGGAAGCAGAGTACCTGATCATTCATTGACGTTTAATACCTTGCTGCTGAAATCAACCAACGTGTAGTTTTGTTCCTAAATGAACATATTTTACTTTCTCCTTAAAACCCAAAACCAAACCCATTGCCATCGAGTCGATTCTAACTCATAGCAACCCTATTTTGTCACGTATAAATATACTAGACAAATGCTTTTAAATGCACATTAAAGCAATATTGAGGTACACAATTACAATTGGTACATTAAATATTTTAAATGTTTAAATAAGCCTTACATTTTATAGTTCTTTTAACATTTACAAAATATTTCCATATATTTAAATGATCTCATTCATCCAATTACAAGCCTGTCAAATAGGCATTTTGAGGTGAGTACTTTACAAATGAGAAAACTGACACTCAGAAATGTCCACACTTAGTAATTTGCCCCACCCTTAGTAAATAGCGGAAGTGAAATTTAAACCCAAGTTTTCTGATTCCAAGTTCTGTTCATTTTCCCACCTTCCTACCATGAACTCACTTAAATACAAAAAGAGGACAGAATCAGAACTTTTTCTTCCTTCTTGAGCTTATCATGATACTTGTAAAATAAAATTTGAATCGATCACATTTCCTTTATGGATAGACAAAGTAGCTGCTTTAATAAAGAATGTTTTGTAGTCCCAGGTAACAAGCAAATCCCAAACCAGACAGAGCTTTATATGATATACTACATTATCATTTATGGGATTTTCATAAATGGAGTTGCTATACATATTTGCACATGTGTATGTTTGTTATGAGGCACTGGTGGTTCAATGGTAGAATTCTCACCTCCCATGCAGGAGACCTGGGTTCCATTCCCAGCCAATGCACCTCATACACAGCCACCACCCATCCATCAGTGGAGGCTTCTGTGTTGCGATGATGCTGAACAGGCTTCAGTGGAGCTTCCAGACTAAGATGGACTGGGAGGAAATGCTTAGTGATCTTTCCAAAAATCAGCCAATGAAAATCCTGTGAATCACAACAAAATATTGTCTGATCCGCAAACTATAGGTGCTGTTGTGTTAAACTTACTTATTGCTTTACACTAAAAAGAGTGAACTCCAGTCCCCTGTTTCAGGCAGAGGGGACAGTAGAAACCCATAAGCAAATGCTGAGACGTGACCAGGCTTACTGCTTCCCCAGCAGAGTATTTCTTCCTTACTCCTGGAGGAACGGTTAACTCCAGGTGGTGTTTATGTCTAGTTTCAGAACAATGTAAAATTCGAGCAGAGCGTTTTTATAATGGATGTGCCATGTGTTCACTTGGTTGAAATTCATCCTGCACCGCCGGCAGAATGCAGCAAAATGGGGGAAAAAAATCAATAGTTAGGAAAGGTTAATCTCACTTGATTTTCCTAAATACTGCTTTTTCATATGTGTTCATTTCCAAGAAATGTAAGTCATCAAATGGATTTTCAACCTGTTGAATGATATGTCTAAATCTTATATAAACTTTAAGAGCATGAGCAATCATTTGACTCTTTCACTCCTTTCCCCATGTGGAAACAAGTAAACCAAAAACATAAATTTCCTCGGCTAGTTGAGTAATTGATGATGCCACGTGATTTTTCAGCAGATTTTTTTTTTTTCACTTATTTTACTACTTCTGTAATTACATGAACGAGAAAGCGTGTAACAAATGCATGGGGAGCTGGGACATTTTTGTAGTTCATCTACACAATGTGTAGGTGGGTTTATTAAATTGCACAATGTGCTTTAATTGAATGAATACACAATGTGCTCCTGGATTGACCATCTGTGAGGGGGGGGAAATGGGCGTTCTTATGCTGCTTCGCACTTCATCATAGATGTAGGAAGTCTCTCTTCTGTTCTACGCTACAAATTTCACCCATTCTTGTCTTGGGGGCATCTTTTTTAGTGTTTTCGATGAACTGTTTTCTGAAAAACAGACCCTGTCTCAAGAGTACAGATCAGAAATAAGCTCTGAGAAGTAAGCAGGATGCTCAAGGGTTTTTTCATATTCCCAGAAGACTCTATCAGCAGCTTGAAAAACGACCTGAATATAGTGGTTCAAATCTACCAGCCGCTCCTTGGAAACCCTATGGGGCAGTTCTACTCTGTCCTATAGGTCACTGTGGGTTGGAATCGACTCAACAGCACTAACAACAACAACGTACCTTCTTAGAGATGAAGATGAGCCTGGGATAGTTTGAGAGAGACACAGACAGAAAGAAAGAGATTGAGAGAGAGAGAGAGAGACCACAATTTGAGACACTCCAACCAGCCAACCAGCTTCCATCGAGTCGACTCCAACTCATGATGACCCTGTGTGTGTCAGAGTAGAACTGTTCTCTGAAGAATTTTCAGTGGCTGATTTTTCAATGTAGATCACCAGGCCTTTCTTTAGAAGTGCCGCTTGGTGGACTCAAACTGCCAACCTTTCCGTTAGCAGCCAAGCATGTTAACCATTTATACCACCCCTAAAAGGTACCCAACCCATTGCCATCGAGTTGATTCCGACTCATAGCGACCCTGTAGGATAGAGTAGAACTGCCCCATAGGGTTTCCAAGGCTGTAAATCTTTAGGGAAGCAGACTGCCACATCTTTCTCTCAAAGAGCAACTAGTGGGTTCGAACTGCCAACCTGTTGGTTTGCAGCCGAGTGCTTAACCGCTGTGCCACTAGGACTCCGTTTACACCACCCCACTCAGGTACTACCAGTTTGAAATGTTGTATGCTGTCAAGTCAATTTCAACTCACAGCTACCCTATAGGACAGTAGAACTACCCTATAGGGTTTCCTAGGCTGTCAGTCTTTATGGGAGCAGATTACTAGGTCTGTTCTCTCAGGGAGCTGCTGATGGTTCAAACCACTGATGTTTCGGTTAGTAGCCAAGCGTTTAACCATTGCACCATCAGGGCTCCTTCTTTGAGACATTACCCTTCAATAATCTCTTAGATAGAAGTATATAGTAACTTGCCAGCTTAATGTCTGACAGCATCAATAAGACCAGACATCTAGACTATTTCTGGAGGTGGGGCTGCCATTCCTCAATCAACTCTCAGCAAGTTTTTTGTCTCTGTCTTTGAACCATTTTCTATCCACCACAGTGATTCTCCAGGCTCAGGCAGCTTGTATCTCTGCAAATACAGGAATAGCTTCTCAAATGTTGTGTGTGTTCACGCTTCATTGCCTGGGTTTAAGTTCTGAAACAATGACTATAAAGAAAGCCTTGGGACTCAGTTTTTGTACCTTAGTCTCCAAACGTAGAGTATCTACTGTCAAGTTTTACAGTGGCTAATGAGTAAGCTCTTGATGCTTCCCAGAGTTGTTTTCATTAAAGATTGAAATGCAGAATTGCTGCTAAAGAGTATGCATTGTAATTAATTGTCTCATTTTGTGACATTCCTGGGAACATAGCTAATGAAAGTGGATTAGAACAATAAAAGTTATTTTGTAGAGCAGTAAATCAGGAACCATATGGTATACCATTCTGGTGCTGACCCAGCAGTTAGATTCCAGTAAATGAAAGCTTGATACTAATGTAATTCTTGTCTTTCATCACTAGGGGATGAAATCCTAGATGTAAATGGAATACCAATAAAGGGCTTGACATTTCAAGAAGCCATTCATACCTTTAAGGTAACAGCATTCTTATTTGATCTACTTTATCCCCTTTTCTTTGTCTTCCTTTACTTCCTTCTGGCTTTGGTTACGTGAGATTTTTTTCACTCTTTGACGAAAGGACAGTTTGAATGTTTTAGCCCTACTTTCTTCTTGTTTTCTCAGCAAATCCGGAGCGGATTATTTGTCTTAACGGTACGCACAAAGTTACTGAGCCCGAGCCTCACGCCGTGCTCCACACCCACTCACATGAGCAGATCCAGCTCCCCCAACTTCAACGCCAGTGGGGGAACCTCGGTGGTAGGCGCCGATGAAATCAGTTCTTCATCCCTGGGCCGAAAGATCCCTGGGCCCAAGGACAGGATTGTCATGGAAGTAACCCTCAACAAAGGTGACACTAGCGATTTCTCACTTTCATTGCATTCTCTTGAATAACAACTGATAAACTGTTCTTAGATTAATTTTTTAATAATTTTTCTATGAACTGTCCCTTAGAAACCATCTGTTATCAAAAACACATGGTGTTCCCTAAATGGACAGTGAGATCAAAAGTAGAGATTTGAGTCATTGTACAAAAGTGAAAGAAAATTACCAGTAATACAAAGGTCTTTAAACTCTCCCCCAGATAAATCATTGTGTGTCAGAGACCTGTGTTTAAAAAAAAAAAAAAAAAAAATCACTGAATAGTTCCTTCTAGGGCAAATGAGAATTTTTAAAGATGGCTTTTAAAGAACAAAAGATTATACATTATCTTTTGGATGCAAATGTAAGTTGAGAATACAGTTAGCACCAGTAACTAAAAGTCATGACTACCAAATCTTACCCGCTGTTGTCTTTGTTTCCCTTCCTTCCCCGCCTACTGTAGAAATGTAATGAGCGGTTGAATAATCAAGAGATTGGTTGCTAAGAAGAGAAGTAAAAGAAAGCCTAAAGTTGTATATCCAGAATCATAATCCATTTATAGATACTCTGCCTGTTTCCAAAAACAGATTTGAGGAGGCTTGTTAGACTAAGCAGAACACAGACCGTTGGATAATTCACGGTCCATAGTTACCCCTGGCCTAGCAGTGGCCTCACCTCATTAAGAGACTATGGCAATATTGACAGAAAAGCAGGATAAGTGTTGTGATTTGAAATTATAATAGGTGAAAATGAAATGGTTACTGGTCTGAATATATATAATGTGGTTTCAAATCAGTTCTTCTTTTCCAGTTACAGTGTTAATTTTTGTTTTTGTTTTCTTTGAATGATGCCTCCCACAGAGCCAAGAGTTGGATTAGGCATTGGTGCCTGCTGCCTGGCTCTGGAAAACAGTCCTCCAGGCATCTACATTCACAGCCTTGCCCCAGGATCAGTGGCCAAGATGGAAAGCAATCTGAGGTTCGTTGCAAATTTGCTAGTATAAGGTTCTGGCATGTTTGTGAATATGTGAATACACACAGATGTAAGATAATCTGCTCTATTACATTCCTTTGTGGGATTCTAAATATTTGTATTACTTATAATAATGTAGCTGGAATTACAATTAATAGCATCTCTGAAAATGAAAAGCTAATATAAATGAAATTTGGTTTCATTAAGAATTAGAAAACTGCATCTTATATAGCACCCTACTCCTACCTATTTTGTTCTATTTGCGCTCAGAAGCTAAGAAACTTGACAAAATACAACTCTACACAGATATCTACGGTTTTCTGAGTGTTTCCTTTCACTTTTATATTCATTTTTATGTAAAATTCACATGAGCAACTGGGAAGTGCTCATAAGAATTCAGAATCATTGGACTCAAGAGTCCTGAAATCATGCCCTTAAATGAGGAGCCTTTCTTATTAAGTATTATCTCTTTAACCTTTTCTGTTTTCATTCCTTTTTGTATGATGATGTCCAGTTTTCTGAAATCAGTGGGTGTCTAATTTCTCAGTCCAGATTTTTGGGTTGTAGCATTAGCGAGACGTATGGGTATTCTGTTTACGCAGGAGATGTATAGGTGTTCTACATAAAGAGGAATTGCAATGGGTCTGTGCCCACCTAAACTTCACAAAAATGTACTCGTATGGCACAAAGCACCCTGTACAAACACTATCACATTTCTTCTCTGTAAGCTTCTTAGCCCTGGAGCGAGTGAGGAATTGTCAAAATGCCATTCCTTGAGGTTGCCACTTTTGAGCTCTGTTAATAGATTATATTACATTTTTAGTTAATGATCAGAGTGTATTTCCATAGGAAAAAAATTAGAATATCATCCAAAGTACATTAAAGAAAATATACTTTTAGGACCCAAGGAAAAAATCCTTTAATGATATCCCAAAATGATGTTTCTTTCTTGAATGGTTCCATATGTCTGGAGCCTGCCAAATGAACATTCTTCAAACCCCATATAAAGAGTCTTTGTTCTCCCACACTGAGTTCTCGCCCTATAATTTCAAGTTAAAATGGGCAGCTTGTCCCCAATTTCTCATTTGTTCAAATTTGAAACGTTTTTACAAATTCTTGAGTAACCTTTGAGCTTCAGATATTTCCTCCTTAAATTATATTACAATAATCATTTCAAGATGGTAGGAAGAAAGAAACTGTGGTGGTCGAGGAGCTATCACATGGTGATGAAGAGTCAGACAGAACTGAGTTCAACAGTATGTGACATCTGGTTGACCTCTTTGAACCTATTGCCTTATCTATATAATGACAATAATACCTATTCAAAGCATTGATATATAAATTGATGAACATGGTACTTGGCATACAGTATGTGCTTAAGAAATGGTAGCCTTCCTTGTTGTCCTTACTATCAATTTTATTTAACATTACTGTTTCTGAAAGTGTCAATATATACATCCAATGGCTTTGCCAATTTAAAATCAAATTTGTTTTTATGAATGAGTTACTTTTTTACATGTATGCAAAGATGAAAGGATGTCATTTGCTTGTTAAATATATTCAGAAAATATTTCATATCATAAACCTCTCCTAGATGGAAATCTTTTATAAGCTGACTCTTACCACAGAGTGTTGGTTATGTTGCCTTCCTTAGCCGCGGAGATCAAATCCTGGAAGTGAACTCAGTCAACGTTCGCCATGCTGCTCTAAGCAAAGTCCACGCCATTTTGAGCAAATGCCCCCCAGGACCAGTTCGCCTTGTCGTCGGCCGTCACCCTAATCCAAAGGTGAATTATATCATACTGTTGTGAGTATGGAGAGTGGCTTCATTATTTATCCAGTGGCAGTGGTACATTTGTTCTGGTCCCTCTGCACACATTCCTGTGACCACACATACTCTGGTGAGTTCACCCAGCTGGGGATGAGAATTCAGCCTATGGCTGAAGAGTGACCAAGGTAACTGATTGTTGCTGTTGTTGTTAGGTGTCACCGAGTTGGTTCTGACTCATAGCGACCCAATGTACAACAGAACAAAACACTGCCTGGTCCTGCACCATTCTCACAATAGCTGTTATGCTTGAGCCCATTGTTGTAGCCACTATGTCAGTCCATCTTCTTAAGGGTCTTCCTTTTTTTGCTGATTCTCTACTTTACCAAGCATGATGTCCTTCTCCAGGGACCGGTCCCTCCTGCTAACATGTCCAAAATATGTGAGACGAAGTCTTAGTGATTCTTGCTTCTAAGGAGCATTCTAGCTATACTTCTTCCAAGACAGATTTGTTCATTCTTTTGGCAGTCCATGCTATAGTCAGTATTCTTGACCAATACCTTAATTCAAAGGCATCAATTCTTCTTCAGTCTTCCTTATTCACCGTCCAGCTTTCACATACATATGAGGCAGTTGAAAACACCATGGCTTGCGTCTGGTGCAGCTTAGTCCTTAAAGTGGCTTCTTTGTTTTTAACACTTTAAAGAGGTCTTTTGCAGCAGATTTGCCCAATGCAATGCGTTGTTTGACTTCTTGACTGCTCCTTCTGTGGGCATTGATTATGAATCCCAATAGAATGAGATCCTTGACAACTTCAATCTTTTCTCCGTTTATCGTGATGTTGCTTATTGGTCCAGTTGTGAGGATTTTTGTTTTCTTTACGTTAAGATGAAATCTATAATGAAGGCTGTGGTCTTTGATCTTCATCAGTAAGTGCTTCAAGTCGGCAAGCAAGGTTGTGTCATCTGCATAACGCAGGTTCGTAATGAGTCTTCCTCCAATCTTGTTGCCATGTTCTTCTTCATATAGTTCAGCTTCTTGGATTATTTGCTCAGCGTACAGATTGAAAAGACCAAAATGGATGTCAGAAGAGACTCTGAAACTTGCTCTTGAATGCCAAGTAGCTCAAGTGAACAGAAGAAATGATGAAGTAAAATAACTGAACAGAAGATTTCAAAGGGCGACTTGAGAAAACAAAGTAAAGTATTATAATGACATGTGCAAAGATCTGGAGTTAGAAAACCAAAAGGGAAGAACACATTTGGCATTTCTAAAGCTGAAAGAACTGAAGAAAAAATCCAACCCTTGAGTTGCAATAGTGAAGGATTCTGTGGGCAAAATACTGAATGACACAGGACGCATCAAAAGAAGGTTGAAAGAATACAGTCACTGTACCAAAAAAAATTGGTCGACAGTCAGCCATTTCAGGAGGCAGCATATGATCAGGAACCAATGGTACTGAAGGAAGAAGTCCAAACTGCACTGAAGGCATTGACGATAAACAAGGCTTCAGGAATTGATGAAATATCAATTGAGATGTTTCAGCAAACAGATGCAGTGCTGGAAGTGCTCACTTCTATGCCAAGAAATTTGGGAGACAGCTACCTGGCAAACCAACTGAAAGAGATCCATATTTATGCCTATTGCAAAGAAAGGTGATCCAACAGAATGCAGAAATTATCGAACAATATCATTAATATCACACCCAAGTAAAATTTTGCTGAAGATCATTCAAAAGCGGTAACAGCAGTACATTGACAGGGAATGGGCAGAAATTCAAACTAGATTCAGAAGAGGACATGGAACAAGGGATATCTTTGCTGATGTCAGATGGATCCTGGCTGAAAGCAGAAAAACCAGAAAGATGTTTACTCCTGTTTTATTGACTATGCGAAGGCATTTAGCTGTGTGGATCATAACAAATTATGGATAACATTTCAAAGAATGAGAATTCCAGAACACTTAATTGCGCTCATGAGGAACCTGTACATAGACCAAGAAGCAGTCATTTGAACAGAACAAGGGGATACTGCGTGCTGCGTGGTTTAAAATCAGGAAAGGTGTGTGTCAGGGTTGTATCCTTTCACCATACCTATTCAATCTGTACGCTGAGCGAATAGTCCGAGAAACTGGACTATATGAAGAACGAGGCATCAGGATTGGAGGAATACTCATTAAGAACCTGCGTTTTGCAGATGACACAACCTTGCTTGCTGAAAGTGAAGAGGACTTGAAGCACTTACTGATGAAGATCAAAGACCACAGCCTACAGTACAGATTGCACCTCAAAATAAAGAAAACAAAAATACAACTGGACCAATAAGCAACATCATGATAAACGGAGAAAAGATTGAAGTTGTCAAGGATTTCATTTTATTTGGATTCACAATCAGTGCCCATGGAAGCAGTAATCAAGAAATCAGTGACACATTGCATTGGGCAAATCTGCTGCAAAAGACCTCTTTAAAGTGTTAAAAACAAAGATGTCACTTTAAGGACTAAGGTGCACCAAACCCAAGCCATGGTGTTTTCAATTGCCTCATATGCATGTGAAAGCTGGGTGGTGAATAAGGAAGACTGAAGAAGAATTGATGCCTTTGAATTATGGTGTTGGTGAAGAATATCGACTGTAGCATGGACTGCCAAAAGAATGAACAAATCTGTCTTGAAAGTACAGCCAAGAATGCTCCTTAGAAGCAAGGATCACCAAGACTTCGTCTCACATACTTCAGACATGTTATCAGGAGGGACCGGTCCCTGAAGAAGAACATCATGCTTGGTAGAGGGTCAGCAAAAAAGAGGAAGACCCTCAACGAGATGGATTGACACTGTGGCTGCAACAATGGGCTCAAGCATAACACTGGTTGTGAGGATGGCGAAGGACCATGCAGTGTTTCGTTCTGTTGTACATAAGGTTGCTATGAGTCGGAACCAACTCGACAGCACCTAACAGCAACAACATACAGATTGAATAGGTATGGTGAAAGGATACAACCCTGACGCACACCTTTCCTGACTTTAAACCATGAAGTATTCCCTTGTTCTATTGGAACGACTGCTTCTTGGTCTGTGTACAGGCTCCACGTGAGCACATTTAAGTGTTGTGGAATTCCCATTCTTCATAATGTTATCCATAATTTGTTATGATCCACACAGCCGAATGCCTTTGCGTAGTCAATAAAACACAGGTAAACATCTTTCTGGTATTCCCTGCTTTCAGCCAGGAACCTTCTGAAATCAGCAGTGATAGCCCTTGTTCAGCATGGTAACTGATGTACATAGGAAATGAGCCATTGATTTGGCTTCTTTGACTTCACACTCTTAGAAAATGAAAAATCCATTTTTTATAGTGTTACTGTTGAATTTAGAATTTGGTGTGCTGGAAGGTAGGAGTACTGGATGCTGAGTAACCCCCAGCTAACTGATCTCTGGTGAGATAGTGTTGGACTAGATGGTCTGTATGACCCTTCTGTTCTTAAGATAAAATCTCTATTTCTTTCTCTCTCTCTCTTTTTTTTTTTTACTATGATCTTTTGTTTGCCCACATGTTGGGAATTGTCTTTAAGTTTAAAACTAAGTAATTAATTTTGAAAACAGATTCAGTGAATTTTCAACTGTTTTCTTTAAGAAATGAGAACTTATCAAGATTGAAATAGTATAGAAATAAATTTTATAATAAAGATAGCTATAATTTAATTTAAACTTGGATAATATACTCAATTCACATAAATTATTGACCATCTTTTCATGTCTATAGAATTTCTAGAGTGCTAACTTCTTCACTTTTTTTTATTGTTGTAGTTTAAGTGAAAATTTACATTTTAAGTTAGTCTCCCATACAAAAATTTATACATACATTGTTATGTGACCCTAATTGTTCCCCCCATAGTGTGACAGCACACTCCTCCTTTCCACTCCTGATTTCCCATGTCCATTCAACCAGCTCCTAACCCTCTTTGCCTTCTCATCTCACCTCTGAACAGAAGCTGCCCGTTTAGTCTCATGTATCTACTTGAGCTAAGAAGCACACTCTTCACGAGTATCATTTTATGTCCCACAGTCCAGTCCAATCTTTGTCTGAAGAGTTGGCCTCGGGAATTGTTTTAGTTCTGGGTTGACAGAGAGTTCGGGGGCCATGCTATCTGGGGTTCCTCCAGTCTTCAGATACTCTTAAAGGGAAAATAAATATCTTCAAATTTGAGGAGGAAAGTTTCTATTTTAATGTTCATTTAACTGTTTGTTGGGTCAAAAAATACCTATTTACTTTATAAAGTGACTAACAAAGTTTAAATAAATGAAAATAAGATAAAACTTGGCTTTGCAATCTAATTGTTTATTTGCCCCAAGATAGCCGTGGAGTAAAATGGGTTTGGGGGAGGAGGAGTAGTATCAGGCAGGCTTTCAGGCATCAAGACAGTGGAACAGAGAGACTGTCCTTTCCTGTCTCTCTCCAGCCTATGTGATATAGATTGTCAACCCTTAACATACATTTATGGAGCTTCCAATGGGGCTGGGCAATGCCCCATGTGCCAGGACTATGCAGATTAATTAGAATGTATTTTTACTCAAAGAACCTACAATCTAACACAGGGATTCTTTTTTATTATTACTAATTTGCTTTATTTTTGTTGTTGTTGAAAATATACACAGCAAAACATATACCAATTCATCAGTTTCTGCATGTACAATTCAGTGACATTAATTACATTCTTCAAGTTGTGTAACCGTTCTCACCCTCCTTTTCCAAATTATTCCTCCTTTGTTAACATAAACTCACTGCCCCCTGTGCTTCCTGTCTAACCTTTCGAGTTGCTTTGTCAGTTTGATCCCATACAGATAGTTCTTTAAAAGGTCACAATGCTTAAGGCAGACATTCTCCACTATTTAAGCTAAACTATTATAGAACAACAACATTGTTTTGTTTAAAGAAGACTTCAGGGAATATTTTTGGTTTGAGGTTTAAAGATTATCTCAGAGTAATAGTTTTGGAAGTTTATCCAGCTTCACAGTGGCTCCATAAAGTCTGCATTCTGTAAGGATTTGAAAATCTCTTCTGCATCCCCCACCCCCCAACTTTTGATCAGGATTCTTCTATAGAATCTTTGATCAAAATAATGTAGGGGTTCTTAACCTGAAGTCCATGGACCCTTACAGGAACTTCATGAATTGTGTAAATTGAGGGTGTATTTGCATTTATTTCTGTGCAGTCAATAGCTTGTATCAAATTCTGTCATTCATAACCCAAAAAATGTTAAGACCCATTTTGTTAGGATGTGAGGACATTACAGTTTCTAGACAGATGAAGGAAGAGACCAGTTTAAAGAGTAGCCTCCTCCTCTACCTGACTGGCCCTCCTCCTCTGTCAGCCGGTCGGTGACCTGAGGAGAACACTTTTCAGTGAAGGCCTAAGAGCTCACTTAGTTATTTTTCAGCATCAGATCATACTGTTGACCCATCCTGACCTTGCAGGTGATCTCAACCGCTAGATCACTAGCCTCTGCTGTTATTTGGTCATATTTCTTCTATTCTTGTGCAGTTGCTTTTTCTTTTAAGCTAACCACAGGCTACTTCATTAAGTCCAACTGACTGTCATCAACCCATGCTGAGTTCAATTTTTTGTTGTTGCTTTGAGTATTTGAGGTAAAAACTCTTTTTAAAGTGGCTTGTCTCTGACTTTGTAATCAGGCTGTAGTCAACAAAATTTAACCTTTTCCTTCAAACAACTCAAACACTCATTAAGAACATTAGCTCTTACCCATGTCTATAATATCGTCACTCCCCTTGTATCATTTGTGGTATTATTTGAATATATACTAAATGGTCCCAGGCTGCTGTCTTGATCGACTTGTACCCCATTTTAAGAGTAAGAAGTCTTTGCCAAGAGACCTTGTGGATTCTCCTATGTGCCAAGGCTGAGATTTCTTTAGTGTATTAGCTTTATTCATTTATTTATTTTTAGCAGTATGTTTGTACTGGTTCTGCCCAGTACAAATAAGTACCAAGGAGCTGTGACTCCATGCCTTGATCTGGGAACATGATGTCAACTACAGCGTTTGGAAAAAGATCGCTATTTTGACAAGTTCAAAGTCAACTCCATTACATTTCTTTTAAGATTGTTTTTATCTACATGCATTCCCAAAAAAAGTCTTACATAAAAAGTTCTTGACTAAAAATCATTACTATAGAATCAAGTCCGGCTTCCACCTTTCTCTATTTTTTCCTACTTTTCACTTCCCATTGTTCTCCTTACTTTTCCGTGGTCCTAGAGCCTTCCCTTAGAGTGTGTGACTTTGTTACACTGCTGTCCTCCTGGCTCTCTTCAGGTCACTTCTCATAGCACTTGGCCTCCTGTTCATAGCTAGAGCAGTTCTCAGCTCTTTCCTCTAGGGCCCCATTTGGAGTCAGCCGCTCACACCGCCTCCTTTTACCTCAGGAAGCAGTCCACTAGGCTGTGGCTGACCTAACAGACCACTTAGCAGCATTATAAAAAATTAAATTCTCAGTGGTTTGCAGTCATCAGCTTCAAGGCATGTCTGACTTCAGAATCCTTTCTAGTGTAACACGGGTCATGATTTGTTCGGAGGTCCAGTTCATGTCAGCCTGAACGTGTCTGCCTAATTTGCCAATACAGACATCAAAATGGCATTTCAGTGCAAAGCATAATAATCACGATGGACTTTTGGTCTGTGGGCCCATTGAACATGTAGGTCGAGTCTTGTTTCTAGCCACAGTAAAATGGTCTTTTGTGTTGGTATTAGAGATGCGTCCAGCAAAACCAAATTTCGGTGTTTGGCTGGATTTCACATTTCTTCCTAGGTAAACATGGTGTTCTTAGTTGTAACATCATACTATATTTTCCTTTCGGTCAAGACTCTGTTTTATGTTTAATGTATTTTTGTACCACTTACCCAGCATTTCATGCTAACAGTACTTTTCGATACTGTCTGTATGTGCTTCCTTGATTTTCATGTTATTCCAAGATAAATACCACAGAAAGTTTTCCTGTTTCTTATAACAACGAGAGCAACAGCTGCCCTACTGGGATATTCAAACCCTCCAGGTCCAGATGAGCTTAAGATTTGGACCTGCTAAGGTAGTAGCTTCTAGCTTATGCTAAACAGAATAAACCAATAGAGATCCATTTTTAATTAGTCCTGGAGGTTTCAGCATGATTAGAATTGTCCAGCAAACCCTTCACTCATTTCAAACCCCAAACGGTTTTCCCCACTCAGAAAAACAATTACAAATATTGAAAATCTAGTATCAAGAAAAACAGCAACCACGGTTTAAGCTGACGTTTTTCCATGGCCCATTCATACAATATTATACTTTGGTTTCTGGAGGTATGCGTGTGTATGTGTGTGTACATATTATTTTCCTGTGAACCTTGTTAGAAGATATTACATAAAGGCCACAATATAATTATGATTTATCTGATAGGTTAAAACGTAATGCAGAATTCTGTATGGAAATATTTATTTACTGATTAACATTTGGATGGTAAACAGAGCAATTTGTCTTAATTATGCTAAATGTTACATTAGTGCACAGAATTACCATTCTAAGTGTAAAATATTCTTACCTTTAAAAATGAAATTCTATAAAGTTGCCTAGTTGCCTTTTAAAATATCATACATTTCAACATGAATCAGGCTTAAAAATCTTTTTATAAATAAGAATTGTCATAGATAACAACACATTAAAAAAATCCACTAATCTATCATGATACCAACAAATATAGAAGGAAGAGCTACAAAATTTCTGTTTTGATAACTTCATAGTAATGATTCAGGAAAGAGTAATCAATGGATGCTAAAACTATTGGGTAAAAATGTCATGATATAAAAGGATACTTGTGAAGAATGTGCTCCTTAGCTCAAGTAGATACATGAGACTAAATGGGCAGCTCCTGTCCAGAGGTGAGATGAGAAGCCAGAGAGGGTCAGGAGCTGGTTGAATGGACATGAGAAATCAGGGGTGGAAAGCAGGAGAGTGCTGTCAGAGTATAGGGAGAGCAACTAGGGTCACATAACAATGTGTGTATAAATTTTTGTATGAGAGACTAACTTTCACTTAAAATGTAACAGTAAAAACAAACAAACAAAAAGTCCTGCTAGACAACGTCTAAGGAACTGGTTCAGATTAAAGGAAGCTAAAGACACATGACAAATAGACCCTGGGTTGAATTCTGAATTGCCCCCAGAAAATTGCTATAAAGCAATACCAAAAAAAAAAAAGAAGGTGGTCTCTGGTCTATTAACAAGATAAGGAGCTTACACCAGAGTGTAAATCAGTTACATCACCAAACACACCGTTTACCTCAATTAACATTTTTTGTAGAGCAAGGCATTGCTAATGAAAGAAGCTGCATGTTGATTTGCATTGTGGAGGAAAGTTCTTATCTCATCACCAACCAGCATCAAACATTTTATGAATCAGTTCCAGTCTACAGACATACTTTGAGTCACACTTCTAAAGGACAGTATTAGGACAATTGGCTAAATTTAAATATGAAATGTATATTAGACAATAGTTTAGTGTCAGTGTTAAATGTGTTTAAGAAAATGCCCTTGTTCTTAGGAGATGCATGCTAAAATATTTATGGTGAAGGATGATGATGTCTGCAGCCAACTCTCAAATAGTTTAGCAAAAAGCAATAGCAACGTATACATGTGTAGGTATAAAGAGAGGTCATGTGTATAAATGTGGCAAAATGTTGACAATTAGTGAATCTGGGTGAAAGGCATACTATTGTTATACTATTCTTGCACCTTTTGCGTAGGATTGAAAATTTTAAAAAAGTTAAAAAAAAAATTAGAAGTGAGCATTCTAGACAGCGGCAGATATTGTATGGCTCATTCATATGATATTATACTTTGCTTTCTGGAGGTATGTGTGTGTACATATTATTTTCCTGTGAACCTTATTAGAAGATATTACATAAAGGCCGCAATATAATTATGATTTATCAGGTTAAAATGTAATGCCGAATTCTGTATGGAAATATTTATTTACTGATTAAGACAAATAAGACAAACATTGATACTAAACTATTGTCTAATGTTCTAGAGAGTGGCAGATACCAGCCATGTTGTTGGTAGTATAGCACCTGAATGCTTTGCTTAATGAACTTGGGAAGCAATTGAAGGTGTTGTTACATACACATTGTTTGAAGCAATCCATTAACCCAGCTGTAATTTTTATGTGCCCTAAGTTACTGTTTCTGAGGATGTCCATAATCGTTGACCCTGGTTCTAGCTACTAGTATTGGGGGAAATAAATAAATAAAACCATCTAATTTGTGCTTTCTGCTGAAAATCAGGTTTCCGAACAGGAAATGGATGAAGTGATAGCACGCAGCACTTACCAGGAGAGCAAAGAGGCCAATTCCTCTCCTGGCTTAGGTACAGTAATTGCACATTTTTGTTCCACATTTAGAAGAGTTTCTCATTAAGTTTCCCCATGGGACACTTCCTGGTGCAATATTATTGGATTCCTTGTAATTATCAGGTTAGGTGGAAGTAGCTGTCAGATTCTTTCCTTCCTCTTGGGGGCTACTTTTGATTTCTTCAGTTATTTAATGGGTTTCATCAAAGATCTAATCATGCATGCCTCTTAGGCTGCTTTAAAATATTTTCCAAAATGAGTCTGCAGCATTTCATGTGTTTATGCATCGTTTGTGTGTGTGAGAATGTGACAAGGAAGTGATACCAAAATAATCAGTTGTTTGGTAGATGCAGAGTATTATCCATCCCACTCAAAATAGAGTAATAAAGGGTGCAAAAATCATGATTTCTCCCATCTTAAATGGAAAAGTTCAGGCAGAGAAGGAGTAAGATAGCAAGCGTTTCATATGACTTTAAACCATGAACCATTGCTTCAAGTTTTACAATTGTTTCTTGTAGCCTGAGAACCTAAAGGGACTCTCCAAACATTTCTGAGCTTGAGATCTTACTGATGTTAAGACTGATGTGTAGGAGGAAAAGGAGCTGAGACATGAACTACTGGTTTTCAGAGGAAAAGGGAGCATAGGAGTTTTTGGCATCCATGAAATACCCTGATTAATTTGCATCCATAGTTAAAATATTTAAAGTGAGCCCAGACATAATGGGCTCTTTCTTCAGCCAGTTCATTATCCTGAGCTGCCTGAGAAAAGTCCTGCTCTCGCCACCCCAACGTTTCCGCTTGATCATTGCTGGAAGAGTGTATTCAACTGTGATCCTCACGCCCAAGAGCTTCCTTCCAACGGCATGGAACTTAAAGTCTAAATGCTGAGCCTTTTCGCCCTGTAATTAAAAACTTAAATAGATACTCAAGCCTTTCCCCAGTTCTTTCATGATTTTCTTCGAGGATGTTGATTTATTCATTCATCCTTCAGTCCATTCAGCAAATATCACTGAACACTTACTAGGTACCCAGTGTGATGCTGAGGCTTGTGTGGGCAGTGATTAGTGAACAATCAGTTGAGGAAGGGAGATGAGACACATCCACTTATAATTAAATTATACTACTTTTATGGAGGAGCCCTGGTGGCGTAGTGGTTAAGAGCTAGGCTGCTAACCAGAAGGTCGGCAGTTCAAATCCACCAGCTGTTCCTTAGAAACCCTATGGGGCAGTTCTCCTCTGTACTGTAGGGTGGCTATGAGTTGGAATTGACTCAATGGCAATGGGTTTGGGTACTTTTATGGAAATTGATGTATGAGTAGTATAAAATACTTTGGAAATTCAGAAGAAGGAATCACTTACAGCTGGGATCGTCGTAGAGGTAGTAGCATCCAAATTAGGACTTGAAGGATGAGCAGACTCTTGGGAGGCGGGATGGGATGGGTATTGGGTACCCCAGTAGGTTGCATGTACCTATAACCTATCATATGGCCCAGCCAAGCAGAGGGAGTTTTGTTTAATGAACTTTGTTTAATATGTTTGGCTCCTTTTTCAGTTAAGGATTTGAGTCTGTTTGTGATTTGAGCTTCATTGTTTTGACAATATGGTGAATTTTCCCCCAATAGGTACTCCCTTGAAGAGTCCTTCTCTTGCAAAAAAGGTGAGTCAAGGCACACTTGCTGCCTCACTCAGATTCTCGAACCGCTTCCCACCAGTAAAACAACTCATGATGACTCCATGTATGTCAGAGCAAAACTGTGCTCAATCAGGTTTTCAGTGGCTGATTTTTCAGAAGTAGATCAGCAGGTCTTTCTTCTGAGGTGCCTGCCTTTGAGTGGATTTGAACCTCCCACCTTTTGGTCAGCAGCCAAGCACGTTAACGGTTTGTACCACCCAGGGAATACAAAACCTCTTCCAAGAGCTGGTAAATCAAGCCTGAGGGCCCAGTCCATATTTTTGCCTATAAGTCATTTTTGCTGCTTTATACAGAAAACAGTAACAATGCTAATTTGAGAACCAATATACAGGTGTGTTTCTTTTATTAAGTATTCATCCAGGACAAGAACAGAGCAACAAAATTAAGAAACTGAACTGCAGTTTGAAAAATACTTGTTTATTTTCAAACTGCTCCATGATAACGCGGGCCCAAGTTGGCTTCTTCCAGTCTTAAGCGTTAAGAGGCTGTGGAGCCCTCAGCTGGGCTCTTCCTAAATCCAGATGGATTATGATGCTCGCTCAAACTCCTCTGTTTTTGTTTCGTCAGTTGGCTGGAGCAGTTGGCTTTGAGTTTCATTTTGTTTTCCTACACACTGCACCCCAAAGTTTTTTCAGGCATGGCTGATACACTGTTGCTGTAGCTTTTCTGTTCATTGCCAATAATTTAGCCCCCCAAAGAAAAATCTCTGAAAAGATTGCCTGGCAGGAATAATCACCTTTTTAATCATTAATAGTTTAATTCCATCCTAAGGTAAATGGATGTGGACTTTATATCACAGCTGTCTCAAATGGCCATAGGTTAGAACAATGTGCTCTTGGAAAAATAGTAATTACAGGTAGTCCCCGACTTACGAGGGGCTTCTGTCGACGACTCCGTCGTAAGTCGGTTCTGACATAAGTTGAATACCTCATTTTTTTGTTTGTTTTCATTATTATTGCCTTTCATTATCAGCATCTTTATAAATCCAACCTTTGTCTTTGGAGGTTGGAAACATTGCATCTGAGAATGATAACATCAGCAAATTATGCATTGCAACATTGTATGTAGTACATATTACTAACGATAAGATGTACCAAAAAAAAAAGGTGGTCGTAAGTACAGTTTGACATAACTCGAATATGTCGTAAATCAGGGACTACCTGTACTGTTTAAAATAATCCTACTGTTTAAGAGAATCTGTGTCTGGCAGGTCTTCTTCAGTCATCCAGCATTTTCTTATTCCAACAGGACTCCCTTATTTCTGAATCTGAACTCTCCCAGTACTTTGCCCAAGACATCCCTGGCCCCTTGTCAGACTTCGTGGTGGCCTGCTTCGAGGACGAGGATCACCCTGGAGGTGGCTGCAGCACTTCAGAGGATGGCAGCCTGCCTCCCAGCACCCCCAGTAAGCAGGAGAACCCCACGGGGCTCTGGGTTCTGCATTCCAGTCAGAATTACAGTTTCTGGGTTTTCTGACTCCACACTGGAGGCCACGCTGCTATCATGTAAAAAGAGATCTAGAAACCATGCCTCTGATTAAGTAGAAGCCATCTTTCTACCCTGACTAAATATAGAGTTTATTCATGGAAAGCGTGGCCACTGTTAACAATTACATAGTGGTGGGGTGAGCACATGTTCTATGACCAGGTGTTGAAGGAGACTGAACCAGACCGCCTTTAGGCACCATTTACATATCCTAGTCTTTAATTTTATGGCATCAGATCAGGCTTGGCAACCTTATGGCTTTACCTGTGAGAAGAGTCCTAGCCAAAGTCCCAGGTGTGTGAAACTTGCTCTTGGTCCCCAGGCATAACTTCTAAATAGGCATTCTCTGAAGCAGCATTTAGATTGACCCCACCAATATGTTAGACATCATGGAGGTTGAAGAAGGTCTCTAGGCAGCACACATGTTTAAGTAAGGTAAGCAATCCAGAGTTCGGAGTTAAAAAAAACAAATAAGGGAGGCCAGTAGGAAAAGAAGACAGGGCGGTAGCTGTCCATGCTGTGTAGCTCTTGAGTGTCCAGGGGCCGGGCTTGTGTATCTGGCCTTTGTGAAATGCTCATGTGAGGATACACTGTAAGCCAGGCCAGATGGGAAACTCGATTTCATTTGACTTTTCTTTCCCTCCCTCACCTGTATCCCCAACCCGCCAGCTCACAAGGAACCAGGAAAAGCCAGAGCCAACAGTCTTGTGTCTCTCGGAAGCCAGCGAGCCTCTGGGCTCTTCCACAAGCAAGTGACCATTGCCAGACAAACCAGCCTCCCTGGAAGCCCACGCGTCCCCCGAAACCCCCTCCTCCGTCAGAGAAGGGTGGGTTGCTATGATGCTGATGATGCAAGCGATGAGGAAGACTTTGATGGAGAAGGGGACTGTGTTTCACTCCCAGGGACCCTCTCAGGTCCTAGCAGGCCTCAGACAGAGGATGACCCTGGGCGTGTCATTACAACCTTGCCCAAGGTCGTGGATATCAACAGTCAGGAGGAACAACCTCAGAAAATACTGGTCAGCAAGGCCTCCTCAGCCCCTTTCCTTGGCAGCTTGTTGGACTTACAGGAGAGTGTTCCAGGGGATGTGGTGGACTCTCCTTCCCATGCAGCCCGCCTGCTGGACTCTACAGAGGGCCCCAAGGGTGGCCCTAGCTTCCCAGGGAAGAAGGAGCCGCCAGAATGGAGGAGTTCACCCAAATTGGAATACAAAGCCAGTACAGGTGCCCAGACTCTAAAGAGCACAGAGTGCCCCAGTCCCCCCCAGCAGAAGAATGAACACCTGGGGCCCAGGCACAAGCCAGTGGCCAGGATCAGCCCGCACTGCAAAAGGCCCACAGCAGAGGCCAGGCCCAGTGGCTTAGAGACCACAGTCCTGACTGACAGAGTCGATGAATCGTGTGCTCCGGACTTCAAGGTCCAGGCTACTTCCTTAAAAGTGACCATCACTGGTTTTCGTCCAGGTGGAACTGTGGAGAAGGTAACTGACTTCCTCTTCATTACTGTGATTCTAAATGCATATTGTGTGGTAAAACCTAGGGTTATCTGCCTGAAAGACAGGATAGTGATTAGAGAATTGTCTTTCAACAGTGGTGTTCCTTTAAATACACTGACTGCTTAGGAACCTATTAATATATCACAGGTAGTTAGGAGGAAAGTGTCCTGGTACTGAGTCCTAAGATCATGGGGCCAAAAGGTATAATGCAGCTCTTACCTGTACACAGGCCTGTGGTTGATGATGGAAAGACAGTGTGATGTTGGTGAAGTAAAACCCTGGGTCTGGCGCTGGCTCCTCCACTGACAACTTGGGCAAGTCCTGGAACCTTTCTGAGCTTCATTCTCTGGAATTGAAAATAGGGATGGTGTTCTCTGCCCTGATCACCTCACAGAGTTGGGGTAACACCAAACATGTTAACAGTGATTATCTCCAGCTGATAAGGTTGTGAGTGATCCTTATTTTTTCAGATGTTCCACCATGATTATGTATAATTATAGCTACGCATACCCTTACTGTATCACGTGAACTAATGGGGTACATTCACTTTGAAATTTAAAATGTTCTACATTGAAAGCAAGTTAATATTATTTATGTTACTCTCGAAAAAAACCAAACTCATTGCTGTTGAGTCGATTCTGACACATAGCGACCCTGTAGGACAGTGTAGAACTGCCCCGTAGAGTTTCCAAGGAGCAGCTGGTGGATTTGAACTGCTGACCTTTTGGTTAGCAGCTGTAGCTCTTAACCACTGTGCCACCAGAGCCCCTTTATGTTACTAGTTGGTTACAAATGTGTTAGAATGTCCCAGAATTATCAAAGTGCTGGTTTTCTAAATTTCAGTATACTTCCACTTTAGCAAGGAGATGGAGCCCTGGTGGTGCAGTTGTTAAAGCACTCAGCTGCTGATCGAAAGGTTAGTGATTCACACCCACCAGCTGTTCCACAGGTTAGTGATTCGAACGCCCCAGCTACTCCACAGGAGAAAGCTGTGGTAGTCTACTTCCATAAAGATTTACAGCCTTGGAAACCGAATGGGGCAATTCTATTCTGTCCTATAGGGTCGCTACGAGTCAGAATTGATTCGAGGGCAATGGGTTTGGTTTCAGTTAGCAAGGAGCGAGTAACAGAAATTAATGTTGTTTATGATCTCCTCAACATAAATAATTTTGCTCCCTCTGAACAAAGAATCCAGGATGACTTGTAAGGCCGTATTTATGAAGATGTGTACACAAGTGGTTTGTATAAACATATATGTAAATAAACCCAGAACATGTAACATCATAAAAACTATACTAGGCAGAAGGTTATTTTTTAACCTTATTAAAAAAAAAAAAATGGTAGAAACATACATCTTTTTTCCTCCTCCTCAAAAAGCATGTTATTACCACCAATCACCGTACAAATTTAATGCTCAGTGTTTTAGAATTTAATGTTCAGCCAATGGGTAAATTCCTTTTTAAATTCTGTTTTTAAAATATCATCAACAAGTCTTGGATATCCAAAAAAAGCCAAATCAGGATTATTATTCTTAATAATTTATTAAAATAAGAGTTTTTGTAATTGATGTCACTGAATTGTACATGTAGAAATTTCTGAAATGGTGTATCTTTGGCTATGTATATTTTCACCAAAGGAAAAAAACGGTCCTCCAAGGTTGAGAGCATTGACATGTTGTGGGGTTGTTAACCAATGTCATAAAACAATATGTGTACTGACTGTTTAATGAGAAACTATTTATTCTGTAAACCTTCACCTAAAGTACATTAAAAAAAAATTTTTTAAAGAGTTTTTGTAACTGTGAGTAAGTATTCCTCAGTAAGAACTTTTCAGCAGAATTGAAAACTCTTTCACAAAAGAGGCTTAATTTTTCTTGCAAAAATTTTAGTTCCAAATGTAATTGTATTTATACATGAGAAAGAAAACCGAATGCCTTGCCATGAAGTACTTGTTGTCAGATATTGAAAGCTTCAAAAAATGTTTTTCTCTTTTGGTGAATGGGTTTACTTCCACTATTTTTATGTTATATTTATGCCTTACCAAAAAATAAACCAAACCAATTGCCATCGAGTCAATTCCAACTCATGGCAACCCTATAGGACAGAATGATTTTCAAGGAGTACCTGGTAGATTCAAACTGCTGACTTTTTGGTTAGCAGCTGTAGCTCTTAACCACTATGACACCAGGGTTTCCTACTCCTTACTGGTAAATAGAAAATTAACTCCGTTAAACCCTGTGTAGCTTTCCCTCAGTCAGTAACTGACATTTTACTAAATGATTTTTCACAAGAGTAGCTACAAGTTGGAGAATGATTTGGGCAAGTCCTGGAAGCTTTCTGGGCCCCATCCTCTGGGCTAGAAAATAGGGAAGGTGTTCTCTGCCCTGATCACCTCACAGAGTTGGGGTAACCATCAAGCATATGTTAACAGTTTCACCACTTTCCTCTGCTGCCACCTATGGGCTGCTTTATGACTTATTAACTCAGAGGGTAAATTTCAAATCAGATTTAACTTTTTGAGCAAGTTAATTTTTTTAATTTTATAGTGAGTGTCGGATGAAAGGAAGAAAAAGTAATTGACACTTGGCTACATGAAATTTTGAAATATTAAATGTCGATTTCATTTATCCAGATGAGTCCTCTTCCTCACTACCAAACTGAGGAGTTGAATTTACAGTCTCAGCTATCATTGTACAATACTGTAACAAGAATGCCTTACATATATTTAGCCTTTGGTATGCTCGACACTGTTTTTATAACTGCTATCTCATTTAATCATCTTTTTAATGTCTATGAGTTAGACATGGCAAGTCTTTTCATCCCCATTTTAAAGCTGAGAAAACTGAGGCTTAGGGAAGAGTTGACAAGACTGTACAATTTCTAGTGGATGTTAGGATCAGAAGCTGGATCTTCTGGCTCCTTGCCCAGGGCTCTTTTGAATTTTCCCGAATTAGTCCTTCTACATATATTATGTTGTATTATGATGCAGAAGACCTGAAAGCTATTGAAAGTGATTTGCAGTTGTCATTGTGCCAGGAATCTCTGGGAAAGCTGACCATTGATGGTTCCATCCCTACCGATGGTGAGCCAGCCAGGGCTCTGTCCCACCCAGAGGCCTGCCACCTCACAGAGAGCCTGCCCGAAGCTGTACCATTGGGGGTGCAACAACCTGTGACTGGTAAGATTACTCTGTTGTTTGTTAAGCTTAAAGATAGGAGGGTAGACATTATCCCGATAAAAGCACTGTGAGTGCAGGATTTTGAGTGGAGGGGGATGTGGAAACGCTAAAGACAAATTAAGGATATCTAAAAGCTATCTGCATTTACAAGTCCCTGGGTGGTACAAATGGTGAATGCCCTTGGCTGCTCACTGAAAGGTTGGAAGTTTGAGTCCATCCAGAGGTGCCTCAGCAGAAAGGCCTAGCAATCTACTTCTGAAAAATCAGCACTTGAAAACCCTATGGAGCACAGTTCAGCTGTGACACACGTGGGGTTGCAACGAGTTGGAGTCAGCTCAACAGCAGTGTATTACCTGCATTTAACAATTTTGTTGGTGGTGGTGGTGGTTGCCATCAAGTTGATTCCAATTCATGGCGACACCATGTGTTACAGATAGAACTGCTCCATAGGGTTTTCTTGACTGTGATCCTAACAGATAGGAGCCCTGGTAGCACAATGGTTAAGCACTCGGCTGCTAACCAAAAGGTTGGCAGTTCAAATCCACCCAGCAGCTCTGCAGGAGAAAGACCTGGCGATCTGCTCCCATAAAGATTACAGCCAAGAAAACCCTATGGTGCAGTTCTACTGTGTCACATGTGGTCACTATGAGTCGAAAATAGACTTGACGGCACCCAGCACCACCACCAACACCTTAGTTCTTCATCATTCCAATGAAGATGGTAGCAGGACCTACCTCCTGTGAAAAACTTATAGCAGCACAGTGCTAAATCCTTAATTCAATTATTTTTAGAAACACTCTTAGCATAATGCTAAGTCCTAATAATTGGTTCATCAGGAAGAAAAAGGTGTATACCACTAAGATGATGATGTCTGGGGAGTGTGCAGTGGCTGTAACAGTTGAGGTAGACACACCCCTCAAACAAGAGCTGTCACTGTGACTGGGTTTTTCACTCCAGCCTCAGACCCATAGCCCCTAAGAAAATAGCTAACCATAAGTTTTTTTTAATGCCAGTTTTTGGGTGTTTTTTGTTTTTTTTCTTGTTCCAAGATGCTACGTCCCACTGTAATCTTTATGGAAGCAGACTGCCACATCTTTCTGCCATGGAAACAGTGGCTGGTGGGTTTGAAGCCTCAACATTTAGGTTAGCAGCCAATGCTTAACCGCTGCGCCACCAGGGCTCCTTCTGTAAAGATTACATTCTAGGAAATATGGGACTGTTCTACTCTAGTCAGCACCCAACAACAATATATGTATATATAGATATTTATATGTGTGTATATGTGAGTGTAAATATGTAAATATATGTATGTATGTGTTTTTAAAATCTTGATCCCAAATGCCACATGCCAATCCATCCTTCACAGAGGCTATCTTGAGTCTTTACTTCTCTCCTCAATCCAACACTCATTCCCAGCAGCCTTCTAATATGTGAAAATATAGAAACTATCAAACATGGACTTCTGAAGCTTCCTTTTCCCCTTTGGCACCTCAAAAATTTAATGTATGTAAAAAAGCATGGGCTATGCAATCAGCAAGACCAGGCTCTGTCACTTACTGGTTGAATAAACTTAAGTGTGTTACCCCCCCACCCCCACCCCCACCTCTCCAAAAAAAAAAAGATGCTATGTCCCAGAGGTGGGCAGGTTAGCTGACCACCACGCAGGCCCTCATAAGGAGGCACTGCAGGCCCGAGGTGCTCTGGGAACCCACCTCACAGAATGACTCCACTTCCCACTGTCCCACATGCATCCTTCCCTGCTGCCTGTGAGGTTTCCTACTCTTTATCTTGCCTCTCTGCTTTCATTTCATTTTCTTCCTCATCTTCTTTCTTAACAGACTCTGGCCAAACTCACCCTCCTGAACTGCACTCAAGGCCCCACCCTTTTTGTCAACCCATTGCCATCAAGTCGATTCTGACTTGTAGTGACCCTGAAAGACAGAGTAGAGCTGCCCCATAGGGTTCCCAAGGCTGTAATCTTTACGGGAGCAGACTGCCACATTTTTCTCCTGCAGAGTGGCTGGTGGGTTGGAACCTTTAACCTTTCTGTTAGCAGCCGAGCGCTTAACCACTGAGCCATGAGGGCTCCTTCCCTCTGCTGAGGCTCCCACAATAATCTGGCCTCTCTAGGCCTCCCATTCTGCTGAACTGCATCAACATATATCCGAAGCTCAGCAGAGGCCCGTATCCTGTCTGTAGCATTCCTTGTGGTTGCCTCACCACCAGTGATAAACAGTAAGTCCCCGAAGTTTGGAGATTGGACTGCTTCACACGTTCTACCTCTCACAACCCATAGCTTGGGGCTGAACCCACATGGGTGGGATCGCCCGATACTGGGACTGAGAAACTGTGTGTGATCTCCACAGAAGCAAAGAGAAGCTACAGAATAAAACAACCGCATCTCAGGGCTTTTGCCATGTGTGAATGCCAACGAGTGGATAGTGTAAAGAAAACCATTTCTGGCATCCCCAGTCCTTCAAAATAACCAAAAGGGAAAGAAACAGACGTTCATTCTGCCGTCTCGTCTGAGTTATTTTAGAGCATCTTAGCATCGTGTTTGTTAGATGTGGGTTTGCTGTAATTGTAGAGACAAAAAACCCAGAAAGGCAAAAAGGCCGGCGTTTAGGTTGTGGAATATCTTTCTGAAAAAGAAAAGAGTTGAGATTGCTTATACTTTTTTTTTTTTTAATTGAGAGGTTTCATATTTTCTCAGAATTTTCCCTTTGTCTCTCCTACCATCCTATCTTTTGTTTAAATTCTCAACACAGGACTGGACAGCTCACCAGACCTCATCACGTCCCCAGGGAAGAAGAGGGCTCAACCTGACCTCAGCAAGGCCTCAGCAGATGCAGGCAAAGCCTGTCTGCCTGAGAGCCCCAGCAAGCCAGCGTCAGCCCAGGTCTCTGAGTCCGAGGGCAGGCCTCAAGTCAGGCTCACCCAAGACCTCAGCACATCCCCAGGGAAGAAGGTGACGGTTCATCCTGACTTTAGCCAGACTCAAGGAGTGTCAGAAGCCAGCATGCCTGACAATGCCAGGAAGGCAGCTGCCCTCAAGGGAGCGGACCCTGAGGCACAGGGAGCACCTCAAGCTAGTGCTATCCTGTCACGAGACCTTGTCACATCCCAGGAGAAGAGACAAGGAGTTCAAGTTAACCACAGCAAGGCTTTGGAGATGACAGAAATCCGCATTCCTGAAAACTCCAGGGAGTCTGCTCTGCTCAAGGGAAGAGATTCTGTGTCCGAGAGGGCGCTGCAGGCCAGAGCCTCCCTGGCATCGTCCACTGACAAGCCCAAAGAAGTGTGTGGCAGTGGTTCATGGCACTGCTGCCCGGGGGAGAAGACAGAGAGCCCTGTGACTGACATCGACACATTCATTACGGAGCTGGATGCTTGTGAAGTAACACTTCAGTCTTCTCAGAGAGGGGACCATGTGAGACAAGAGGGCAGTTCTCAAGGTCAACCTCCAGCAAAAGCTGAAAGCGGAAGTTCCTGCCACGCCAAGCCTGTCTCGGGGAAAGGAACCCCCTCCCCGGGGAGGGCCCAGGCTGCTCGTCCACCCCCTCACCCCCAGTGGGCCTCCCAGCCTTCGGTTTTAGATTCAATTAATCCTGACAAACATTTTACTGTGAACAAAAACTTTCTGAGCAACTACTCTAGAAATTTTAGCAGTTTTCACGAAGACAGTACCTCCCTGTCAGGCCTGGGCGATAGTACCGAACCATCTCTCTCTTCCATGTATGGCGATGCTGAGGACTCATCCTCAGACCCTGAGTCACTCATGGAAGCCCCACGCGCTTCCGCCAGGGACAGCTGGTCACCACCTCATTCTTGTAGGTCACCTCACAAGGAAGATACTGCAGAGTCTGAGGAGGAGCAAATCGAAATTTGTTCCACAAATGGTTGCTCCCACCCGCCCTTGGCGACTACTCATCCGCCTGCCCAGGCTGCACCCTACCCTGCTTTAGCCAAAGTTCTGCCATTAAAACATAGTGCTCTGAGCGAATCAGTGGGAAGTCCATGTGAGAGAGCTTCCTTTGTGCCCGGAGTATCATGCTTTTCAGTACTAAAATCTTCCCAGCCGTTTTCACTCTTGGATATAAGCTCCCAGGAGCACGAAACTCATGGGGATATAAACACTTCTCAGGGTCACAGGCCCTGGAGTGCAGAAGAGACTGTGGAAGCTGCCAGCATTGGCTCAGCCATGGAAAGCAGTCAGCCTTCTAAAATTGCCAGTCATTTTCCGGACCCCCCGGTCACTCTCTGCTTTCCTAGCATGGTGAATGGTTTGGACTATGACTTACTCGATGATGAGACCCCAAATAAAGAACCAACAAATGTTAATGCAACTGAAGATCCATCCTCCTTCGGTGCAGATGTCCCTAAGAATGGGGACTCTGTCTTGCTAGACCTGCATGTCTCTGAAATCCATGACCCGGGTGACCTGCTACAGAAACCAAAAGTGACCTCCAGGAGGCCCATCATGGCCTGGTTTAAAGAAATAAATAAAAATAACCTAGGTGCCCATTTGCAGAGCAAAACTGAAAAGGAGCCATCCACAGTGCCAACCAGAAGTCCTGACTCCAAAATTCAAACGATGAGTTCGAGCCACAAGAAAGGAATTTCTGTACCTAATAGCCCTCCTCAGCTGAAAGTGAACCTTGAAAACAAAGACCTGCCAAAAAAAAGTTCGGTAGAAACACTTTTAAGTAACTGTCAGAAACCCAAATCTGGTCCGAAGCTGAAGAGGCTCAGCATCAAAAGTAAAAGCAGAGTCAGTGCCGAGGCTCCTGCTGCTAATACAGTCAAGGCTGGTGGGGTGGATCACCGGAAATCCCTGACTTCACCCCAGAGCTCCCAGAAAATGCTTTCTAAGGTAGCCACACAACGGTTCCACGCAGGTGTCCATGAGGAACCTAACAAGAACGGTGCAGCCACTCCCAAGTCTCCCAAGTATATGCTGGAGAGCAAGCCACCCCTCGCTGCTCCTGGGTCACTGAACTCCTCGGTGTCAGACACAAGCATCAAAACGTTCATATCGCCCCTCAGCTCCCCCAAGGATCTTCTGCAGCCAGGTGTCTGTAGTAGGTTCCACACGGCCGTTCACTCAGAACCAGACAGAAGTTGCCCAGCCACCCCCAGGTCCCCCAGATGTGGAGCAGAGAGTACAGTGCCTCCTGCTGGCTCTGGGCCAGCAAGTCCCATAGCATCAAATGGGAGCATCTCCACCTCAGGGAACAAGCATGAGATTCAACCTCCAGAACAGAAAGAGCCCCGCACATCTGGCCAAACAGATTCAGCATCAGAAGCAGCCCAGCCTAGGATGGCTGGAGAAAAAGAAAGCAGAATAATTGCTAGTGATGCCCTAGAAAGAACAAAGCAGCTGAAAATTGTTGAGATTTCTTCTGAGAGAATGCCTAAGGGTGCATGTGGTGACAAGCCGGCTGAAAGCAACAGGCGGGGAGGGTTCTCAGCCCAGAGCCACTGTCAGGAGATGGGGAAGGTCAGACTCTGTCCCCAGGCAGTGGAATCACCCCCCAGTTACCCACCCTCACCCACGTCTCGGGCCTCTCAGGTCAAGCAGGAAATGCAGCGCTCTTTCAGTGTGGCCAAGCTGTCTTCCTCCTCTTCCTCCCCCCAGCTGCTTGCTAAAAAGACAGATTCCTCCCAGGGAAAAACAAGCCAAATGGTGGAACCCCAAGGGATGTCCAAGAATGTCATACCAATGGATGACCACCCCTACTTCACACCACGGCCAGCAACCAGGACCTACTCCATGCCAGCCCAGTTCTCCAGCCACTTTGGACGGGAGGGTCCTTCCCTCCACAGTCCAGGCCGCTCTCATCTGGACAGCCAGAACCCTGTGACAGGTGGTGGCTTCCTGGAGACAAAGCCATCCAAAAGCAGTGTCCTCACTCTGGTTAATGGGCAGAGTGTCTATAGTGTGAAGCCCCTGCTGGAAACATCTAGAAACCTTCCAACAACCGACGAAGGAGATACCCTTCCCATCCAGGAGACGAGCTGCCTTGTCACAGACAAGATCAGAGTCACCAGGAGGCATTACTACTATGAGCAGAACTGGCCCCATGAATCTACCTCATTTTTCTCTGTAAAGCAAAGGATCAAGTCTTTCGAGAATCTGGCCAATTCTGACCGGCCTGCCGCCAAGTCTGGTGCTTTCCCTTCTTTGTCTGTAAGTTCTAAGCCCCCCATTGGGAGACGGTCATCTGGCAGCATCCCTTTGGGGAGCCTCAGCCACACCGGGGAGGCCTCAAGGTCGCTGAGGCGGAGCCTAAGTTCCTGCAGCGAAAGCCAAAGTGAAGCCAGCACCCTCATCCCCCCGATGACCAAGTCCCCCTCCAGCACGATGCTGACGGTCTCCCAGCAGATCCCAGTGGAGACCAGTAGCAAGGGCCCTGATTTGGACCAAAAGAAATCACTGGGTCCTTGTGGAATCACCACACCAACAGTGACCCCGGCCTCTCCCATCAAGAGGAACAAGCCCTCGGTGCGCCATGCCCAGCCCTCCTCGCCCTTGTCCCGCTCGAAGCTGCAGGAGCTGCGAGCCCTGAGCATGCCCGACCTGGACAAGCTCTGCAGCGAGGACTATTCGGCGGAGCCCACGGCCGTGCTCTTCAAAACAGAGCTGGAAATCGTCCCCCAGAGGTCGCTCGGCGCCCCTGCTGGAGGCCTTCCTGGCCTCAACGGATCAACTGGGAGCGGGGCCTGTCCAGGGGGAGGCAGCCCTAAAGCTAGTGAACCTAGGACACCGGGTTCAGCCAAGGATGCAGGTGAAACAACCCAGGATCTGCCCTCTGGGAAAAGCTGGTCAATTAAGTAAGTATCTGCCCCTCTCCCCCGCTTTTATTTAAGTAAATTTTATTTTGGAATACTTCTAGATTTATAGAAAAGTTGCACAGATAGTATTGAGAGGTCTCGGATGCCCCTCACCCAGCTTCCCCTAGTGTTAACCTCTTACATCACCATGGTCTGTTTGTCAAAAATAAGAAATGAACACTGGAACAATACTATTAGCTAAACTACAGTCTTTGTTCAGATTTTACCAGTTTTCCCACTAATGCCCTTTTTCTGTTTCAGGAACCAGTCCAGGATCCCACATAGCATTTAGCCCCTTTGTTTTTAATTGTTGGAAAAATTAAGGACCTACAGGGAAGGGTGTACACCAGAATGTTGCTTGGAGGAGAGGATTCTACAGGATATGGCACTTAAGCCAAAGCAAGACACAAGGGAGCTGGAAGGAAAGGGAAGTTGCATCTCAGGGCAGGACCTGGGCCTTTGAAGGGGACTGCAGTCAAACAGGAAATTCCTGATGTAAAATATTTCACTTGAGTCTATATGTTGACTATTTTTAAATACATCAGGAATCTTCCATTGAACTCCTACGTTGGTTCCCTAGCATCTTGGAGGAATCCCTGAATCCACAGCAATTCTCATCGCTGTTGGCAGTGAATGAAATTCCTGTTTCACGTGCAGGTCCTTCAAGTAGTCTGGAGTGGCAGTTAAAATAAAGCATGACTATCAGAAAATACTGGCAATATAGTAGAAAGGAGAAAATTTTAAATGTACCTTTATAAATGGAGAAATTGCTTTCTCCTTTAATGTTCTTCAAATGTACTTATATTATCTAGTTTGGATCATGGCACCCTGGTGGCACAGTAGTTAAGAGCTTGGGTGCTAACCAAAAGGTTGGCAGTTCAAATCCACCAGCCGCTCCTTGGAAACACTTTGGGAGAGTTCTCCTCTGCCCTGCAGGGTCACTATGAGTCTGAATCAACTCGACCGCAACAGGTTTGGGTTTTTTTTTTTTTTTTTTAGTTTGGATCAACTTCTCGTCTCAGTGGGGGACCAGCAAAGATTACAGTCCATTTTGTCATCGGTGGGGTCAACATCTACCGTCCTCACTCTCATTCAGGAAGCGAAGGCACAATCAGAGGTAAGTGAAATACCAGAAACATGGTCACATCCAACATCTCAAGACAGGCCAGCCGCCCTGCTCAAAGGGGCTGGGGCATGACGCTTATTCCTGTACATACAAAGACATCTTTCTTTTTACTCCAACCATTTTGAGTGAAATCCTTCCTGAAAGGCATTGCATATTTCCTGGACTTAACTGGCATCCACTCGTGGGATGTGACCTGTTCTTGATGATTCAGAAGGTCTTAAAGAACATCAGTGGTTGCCTTGAGCTGGTGGGACCCAGGGAGATTCTTAGGACCTATCCCAAGCAACCCCCAACTGATGGCTGGCTGGTTGATTGGTTGGTTGGTAAGTGGATGTCCATTTTGCTATTTTGAGTATGTGGCATATATCAGGGTAGCAAGTCCATGGTTTACTGAGATTGTGTCTAGAATAAAAAGTATAACTGAGGTCCTGAGGGATTTTTCCTTTGAATAAAGTCTGTCCTTCTTTCCTCCCTCCCTCCCTACCTCTGCTCTTCTTTTACAAGTTATAAAATCAACAGATTAGATCTATTTTGGGAATCTAAAGTAACCAAGGTGGTCAAAGATGGATTAGGGAGAAGGGAGACTTGATTTTTAAATCTGCAGCAGCTATTGCAGTTGTCTGTATAAGATTAAAGAGTTGAATTGAGTGGCACTAGAGACAATGAATAGGGACCCAGTTTAGAAACAGTTTGTAGACATGACAGAGCTGGTAATAATTGGATGTAGAGGTGAAGAAACGTGCTCAATGATGTCTGCAGTGTTTCTAGCCTGAGCCACCAGCTCATTGGAGCTGCCAGGAGCCGGGTCAGCAAGTGCAGGGAGGAAAACCTGTTTACGGGGAAAGCAATGAGTTCAGTTCCAGACCTCTGAAGTTGAAGCTACTGTGGTAGATTGAGTTGGAAATGGGAAATTAATCCAAATAGCTCAGAAGTGAAGAAATGAATCTTGTGTGGTTTGGGTCAGAAAGGCCATATTTAGGAGAACTATATTCATTTAGTTAGTTTTATTCCAAAATAAATTTGCAGCCATTTACAAAAATAACATACTATACTATGAGATTAAAAAAATTAAAAATCGGAGTGTTAAAAAGCAAAGATGTCACTTTTGAGGACTAAGGTACGCCTGACCCAAGCCATCGTGTTTTCAATCGCCTCATATGCATGTAAAAGCTGGAAAATGAATAAGGAGGACCAAAGAAGAATTGATGCATCTGAATTATGGTGCTGGCAAAGAATATTGAATACACCATGGACTGCCAGAAGAACCAAGAAATCCGTCTTGGAAGAAGTACAGCCAGAATGCTCCTCAGAAGTGAGGATGATGAGACTTCGTCTCACTTACTTTGGAATGTTATCAGGAGGGACCGGTCGCTGGAGAAAGACATCATGCTTGATAGAGTAGAAAGTCAGTGAAAAAGAGGAAGACCCTCAACGAGACAGATTGACACAGTGGCTGAAACATAGCAACGATTGTGAGGATGGTGCAGGACCGGGCAATGTTTCATTGTGTTGTACACAGGGTCGCTATGAATCGAAACTGACTCGACAGCACCTAACAACAACAGAGTTCTAATTGATATCCCTAAGTTATATACCTGAAAATGACTGAAGTGGCAAAGGCGTTATATATATTTTTACAAAAATTAAAAAAGAAAGCTAACAAGGTAGAGTTCAAAACAAAATCCTAGAGACATCAATGAAACCAGGGAAAAGTTGTTCCATGGAAGTGCGTGCTAGCATACCAGGCTCTGCTCCTACAATTGCGTTGCTGGCTTGGCTCTGATTTCCCTCGCACCTGTGGAAAGAGAAAAGTGTGAAGAAGTCACAAGGGTCCTAGGACAGTGGTTCTCAATCAGGGACACTGCTAAACATCCAACAATGCACAGGACATTCCTCCACAACAAGGAGTTATCCAGCTCAAGATGTTAAAAGTGCCAAGGTTGAGAAACTCTAGTCTAGGAGAATGGTGACTGAAGGAAAAAGAGGAAACTTGCTGGGTAATGAGTGGTGTGGATTCGTGAGCTTCCACTGAATCAATGCCTTCCTCTCTGTGGGTTTCCTGTTTTGAAGATGAAACCATTGCAGTGTTGGCGCCCAGATGTGTGCATTAGCATAGAGAGCCACCGAGAGGCCTTGCCCGAGTCCTGGAGGACTTCATCGTGCTGTGGGTTCTCTTTTAAGTGCCCAATTGGTTTAGCTGCTGTTTTAATTCTGCAGAAACATTTGGTTACCACCTTCATGCCTACATTTGGAGTTTATCTGCAGAAGGTCGTTAGAGTAGAACTAGGCATTTGGTGAATGATCACTGTTGGCTTAAGTGTGAACATAAATTATGTGGTCAAGGGAGCCACCTGCTGGTGAAATAAGAAAGTTACATCTGTTTATCCCTATTCTTGCCCTAAAGTATTTAACATCATCTGAAGTCTTCTGTACAAGACAAAGAAGCTACTCAGTAACTTCAGATAAAGTCTTTAAATAGGTTGGATGTGACAGTAAACAGTAACAAAAGAAACCATTGGTTCACATCTGGGAACCTTCTCTGAACAACATTAATTTCTCAGGACTATCCATAGCGATTTGAATACGAACAAATGCCTATTTTCTATTTAGAGAGAAAAGCAAATTTGAACAATTTTTCTTTAGTGTCTGGGTCACTAAAGTATTCTGAGAACACTATTCCACAAATTCTAACATTTCCCTGAGGGGCTGTGATGTCTGTCTGCTAAGGAGCAGCCTTGGTATCTGATGAGTTGGCCAGGATGGAGAGACTGCGTGGGATGGAGGAAACCCTTTCCCCGTAGACCCCACTCCCTTCCGATTCTCAGCCCACTGCTTTGGGCCTGTGCAGTGAAGAAGCACCTTGAAATGTCAAGCATTTTTCACGTTCAGTAAAAGGGAACATGTCTTCCTCTCCCCTCCTTCAATTGCTGTTATTGTGACAATAAGCATTTCACGCATGGATTTTCAGTCAAGGTGGCATGGTGGGATCACATGCTGACAGGCCCCCTCTGCTCCAAACACTTAATAGTGTTAGAGAAAACATGAAAAGAGAAAACCAAAACGTCTTCACCAACCTCAGAAATGAGATGCACATCTCAGGGACCATACAGAAAGCGGAGGCATTTTTCTGAGGACAGTATCTTCCCAGGGCCTCCCACACCCTGCCTCACCCCCATTCGGTGTTCACCACACCAGGCAAGCGTTGTGGTATGGTGTCGAAGATCATTTCTATTTTTCACTGAGATGTTGCTATCTTCTTCTTCTTTTTTATGCTCCTGTTATCTCCAGCTGATTTCAGAGGGAGCAATGAGCAGAGATGTTACTATTCTGCCAAAAGTTTCCTGCCTAGTGCTCTGTCCACTGAGTATGAATTGTAGGTGCTAAAAATGGAACTGGACAAAAATGTATTTCCTGAGGCCTCTGGGGATGCTTAAAGGGGGAGATTAGGGAGAAGCGGAAAATAAGCCCTGCTGGTCCGACTTCAGCACACCCAGACCTGGTATAGGACTCCTTGAAGAACTCCTGATAGCCAATCTGCTTTCCTAATGCTGTGTTAGGCTTCTCAGAGCAACAAAATTTAGGCCGACAATCGGTTTCTATGGTACTTGTATTCTCAAACACAACTGGAGAAAAAAAAATTTTTTCCCCGTTTATTTTTTTTATTGTACTTCAGGTGAAGGTTTATAGAATAAATAGTTTCTCATTAAACAGTCAGTACACACATTGTTTTATGACATTGGTTAACAACCCCACGACATGTCAACCCTCTCCCTTCTCAATCTTTTCTTTTGGTGAAAATATACATAGCCAAAGATATACCATTTCAAAAATTTCTACATGCACAGTTCAGTGACATCGATTACGTTCTTCCAGTTGTAATGCTATTCTCACTTTAGATGAAGGTTTACAGAACAAAATAGTTTCTCATTAAACAGTACACATGTTGCCCTATGACAATGGTTAACAACCCCACAACATGTCAACACTGTCCTTACTCAACCTTGGGTTCCCTATCACCAGCTTCCTTGTCCCCTTCTGCCTTCTGGCCCTTGACCCTCAACTGCTGTGCCTCATTAGTCCCGTTTTGTTATATGGGGCTGTCCAACCCCCAGCTGAACGGTGAACCTGGGAAGTGACTTCACCACTGAGTTAGAAGGGGTCTGGGGGCCATACTCTCAGGGTTTCTCCAGTCTCTTTCAGGCCAGTAAATCTGGTCTTTCTTGTGTGTGTTAGAATTTTGTTCTACATCTTTCTCCAGCTCTGTCCAGAACCCTCTGTTGTGATCCCGGTTAGAGCGGCAAAGAAAAAAAACTTTTTTTAAATAAAGTTTTGGTGATAAAGTATCCTGGGAGCCAGGACAGTCCCATTTTCAAATATTCTGTCTTTGCTCCAAGAAAGCAATTAAATTTCTGTGTATTCGTGTTTTAGCTTCAGACATACCACAAAACTACACAAAGAGCATTTATCAGACATGTTCCCATTTTTGTTTAGGAAGCCTAACCATCACTCTTCTCTCTACCTGATTAAAGTTTCCTATGAAGAAAAAATTCCCACCTCAAAAAGATCTCTAGGACATTCTAACGTACGCAAAATGGACTCCATCAGCATGTGGAGGCTTTGGTTTGAATGAATGTCTTTAAAGAGGTAACACTGCTGTTATGGATTGAATTGTGTCCCCCAAAAAGATATGTTGAAGTCCTAACCCCTGTGAACTGACGTATTTGGAAACAGAGTCTTTGAAGATGTTATCAGTCAAGTCAACATGAGGTCATACAGGAGTAGGTAGGTCCTAATCCAACCTGGGTGCTGTTCTTATAAAAAAGAAGTAGAGACAGAGACAAAGAGAGGAAAGACTTGAGGGAGTTATGTTGCAGCTACCAGCATATGCTGGGGCTACCAAAAGCAGGGAGAAACCACCAAGGATCTTCCCCTAAAGCCTTTGGAGAGCACATGGCTCCACCAACACCCTAAATTTCACTACTAGCCTCCAGAACTGTGAGACAATAAAGTTCTGTTCTCATAAGCCAACCAAACCCATTGCTACCGAGCTGATTCTGACTCATAGTGACCCTACAGGACAGAGCAGAACTGCCCCATAGGGATTTTGGTGGATTCGAACTGCCTGCCTTTTGGTTAGAGCCGAGCTCTTAACCACTACACCACCAGGGCTTCTATAAGCAACCCAGTCTGTGGTATTTTTTTATGGTGGTCCTGGGAAACTAAGACCATTGCTTGGTTTTAGGCCTCCTGCCTTACTAATAGGACTAAACACTTATTTTCAGATACTTGAGTTCCCTCCCCAGGACACAGATGGAACATTTGGCTTCCGTTACAGAGGGGTCTCTCTTTCAACATTTTCACTTTCTCTCATCAAATCAATCTGTAAGAGCTATTATTAGATTCTTTTCCTATTGCTGTGTTTGAGAACATATTCAATTGACGGATTATAAATCACTTCACATGAAACCTAGCAATTCTCATCTTTAAAATGTTGCTGAATCATCTCTAGTGTGTGGGTGAAGGGCGGCAAAATCCAGAATAATGAACACTGCTAATGTTTTATTTTAAAATAATTTATTCCAAGGTATGTTTTGATTAATGCTTGAAACCTAGAACAGTCTTTTGTTATTTAATCCTACAACATTACTAAGAATGTTTTAGTCTTATTGTGAGTTGAGAACTATTAGTTTTAATGTCTTTGTGCTTTATAATTACCAGTTCATTAATTGCACCTGAAATCCAGTGAACAAAACAACTGGCTTCCATGTGCTCTCATCCTGCCACTTAGCACTTATCCCTTTGCTGTTGTTGAAACTAGCTTTGCGAAATTGTAGAATTAAAGGATAATTCCCTTCATGTTCTGTGCTGAGACCAGATTTGCAAAGACATAATCTGGTACCTAGAATAGCCTGAAGACTTGGGAATCCCAAATTGTCCCCTGACCTTGTCCCAGTTCATGTCCACTTCCTCCTAATAGTTACAGGATGGACCTTCCAAATTTGTCATATAAACACTACCTAGAAGGGATGTGAGATGGTTGGGACGGGGCTCCTCCGATGTCCCTGTGGAAGTCATGAGGAACCATGGCGGCGGTGGGGTGTGTGAAAAGCACCACAGCCACTACAGGAGGACTTACTTCTGAATTTCCTTACTCTTGGCACAAGGAATATAATGTTTTTTTTTTTTTTTTTCTGTTTCTTTTCACTAGAATAAAGAAGACATTTGCTTCATAGTCTTGAATAAAAAAGAAGGCTCAGGTCTGGGATTCAGTGTGGCAGGAGGGACTGATGTGGAGCCAAAATCAATCGTGGTAAGTGACGATGTCATGACACTCATGGAAAAGTGACTGCTTCCACAGCCTCAGGATTTGATCAGCACAGAATTCAAGACAGCGGTAGTCACACATGCCTTTCAAAGACTACTGGTTTTTTTTCCCTACTACCAAAATAAAAATGGAAACGTGGGAAGAGTAGTATGTAATATTTTCGTTGATAAAGATAAGCATCCTGAACACACAGCTGACATGATCTATAGGCTCAATGATCTAGATGCCCATACATACATATACAATTGTCTGCATCCTTAGCTTGTGACCAAATATTTTATTCATTTAAGCACTGTCAAAAATATTACAGTTGACCAAGCTGTGTTTGCTTATAAAATTCTTTCTCAAGAAACAATAACTTAAAATTTTACATCACTCAAAGGCCTTTGAAATCATTTGGGAGGCCACCTTCATGGGACTCCAGAGACCAGCTCCTGTTCAGATTCCTACCGCCCCAGGGAATGCCAGGCACATATTATACACTAGTAAGAAGTTGTTGAGTAAAAAATGTGTTTGTATGCTGGAACTGAAATTTGTAATTCCATCCCCACTGTTGAATATATGCTTTTCATAAACCAAGGGTTTGTATAATTTGGGAATTTTAACGTTAGAAAATTCCTTTAATACAGATTTGCAGGTACTCTCTTGCTTTTACTGGAGGGCATAAATGGATTTGGCTTTTGTTCCCTTTCCTTTCTTTGTCCCAGGTGCACAGGGTGTTATCTCAGGGGGCGGCTTCTCAGGAAGGGACCATGAACCGAGGGGATTTCCTTCTGGCAGTCAATGGCACCTCATTAGCTGGCCTCGCCCACAGGGATATCGTGAAGGTTCTCCATCAGGCACAGCAGCACAAAGATGCCCTCGTGGTTATCAAGAAGAGAAATGATCAACTCAGACCCTCTACCAGGCTGGAGCCTCCCACAGCTAATGGGAAGGGTACACTGTACAGAAAGAACATCACCCTGGAGCCTGGAATTGGTAAGATATTAGTTCAACACCAACAGAATGTGAGCAGCTGGCAGGTAAGAGTAGATTCAAATGGAACATGAAGGGAAATAGCTGCTAATTTCTGGGTCAGAGAAAGTAAATGTAGTGAATGCTAATGCTCGTGGATACTTCTTGCAAAAGCAGTGTTACAAATTGTAAATGTCCGCCAGTAGTTAAAGCCACACTGTTGAGGCTTTAAAATGGCTGCTGTTACCTTCTCAAAACGTCTTAAGAAGGAAGCCCCTTTTACAATTCACATTCCCTTGTTAGGAGGTAACATGACTGGTGAATAAAGCAAGAAACTCTTGTGATGGGGGGAATCAGTGTTGAAGGAGAAATTCCGTAACTGAGATTTATCCTTGGAAAACATCAAGGTTGGTATTCTTTCCTGTTTTAGAAGAACAAAGAAATGAGAGGCAAAAGTGTTTGTGTTTAAAAACCAAGGCTGCAGCCTTGACCAGCTTCACTAAGAAGAGGTTTGGAACGTAACCTATACGCCCTCCATACTCAGAGCCCCAGAGCTAAGCACTGCTTCTGTTTCTGAAGCACAGGCTGATCACTGGTTTCAAATAAGTACTTCAGACTTACATGGTGTCCCGTCTACTAAGAGTGCAATGGTGTCGTCTCTCTCTAGTCCAGAGAGCAGAGTAGAATGTACGGAAGCTCAGGGTGGGACAGCCTGTGGTGTCTTCTTAACATATCTCCCTGATAAAGTAGAGGGTAGCAGAAACCCCTTCTGCTCAACTTGGCTTCATTGTGGCCTGAGCTCTTTGTAATGGCTTTAGTGAAAATGGCACTGGATCCACTGAACAAATGGGAAACACTTCTTGCCTAAGGCCTCTGCATGTCAGGGTATCCTTGGTCTTTCTTCTGCTCTGTTGTCACTCTTCTAGAGAGCCGAAGCACTTCCCACCATCAGGAAACACCTTAGTCATCAGGCATTGTCACGCTCACCTTTGCCCCAGCACCATCTGAACTGGATGGACATAAAGTCATTCTCTGTGTTAGCAGAGAGTGCACGGAAGACAAACGGATGTGCGTACAGCAGGAACACAGCCAGGAGAGCAGTAGTGTTGGGAGACCAACAGTAATGCTGATCTCAAATACTCTGATAGGCGTTTCAAGGTAGATGGGACTTGACAGAGCTAGGGAGCACACAGTACACAAGGTAATGCATTTGGGGGAACTTGGACAGGTGTCTGATGAGGAAACTAGTCATTTTCATCTTTACAAATGCTGTTGCTGCAGGGAGAAACACAGCTGCCCACGATGCCGTGTGTGTGGAAGTGCTGAAGACCTCTGCTGGGTTGGGATTAAGTCTGGATGGAGGAAAGTCTTCTGTATCTGGAGATGGGCCTCTGTTCATTAAAAGAGTATACAAAGGTAATGTTCTAGAACACTCAATCAGCTTTTTGTTCCCTGTTTTCTTTCTGTGTATGCTTCAGTGAAATATCAGTGCCTTCCATTTGGAAACCAAATTTGTTTTAAAAAATGTTTAATCTAAAAATTTTTTTAGTGCTTTGTGATATGTAGAGTTTACTGTGTCAGCCCTGTTCTGAGTGTTTTACGGGTATTAACTTACGTTGTCCATGTGACAACTCTATCAGGTAGGTACTATCATTATCCCCATTCTACAAAAGAAGAAACTGAGTCACAGGGAAGTTAAATAAACATGTAAGGAAACACAGCTATTAGTGGCAGAATCCACTGCCGTGAGAGATAGCCACAGACCCAATAAACAGGAGAACCAATTAAAAAATAAAGGCAGGAATATTACCTGTGAAATAAGACCAAGAGAGTATTCAAAAGGAGCAGATTTTTTTTTAATTAAAAAATTAAGAAATAGAATTTAAAAACAGAGTAAACCCATGTGAAAAGAGAAATTTATAAAAATTGAGATAGAAAGGAAGGAACCATACAAATTGCAGTAGAGAAATATAAATAAAGAGATGAGAATACAAGGATATATTGAGGAGCTCCAGAAAGAAAAACCAGAATGAGAGAAAGGAAATATTTGGAGATATGATGACTAAAAAATTTCCAGAACTAAGACAGGAGTACTCAGATTAAAAAATGCATCAGAGAGCAAAACAGGATGAATTTTATATTCTGAAATTTTATTATGATATGTTAAGGTTTATAAAGAATAAAAAAATCTGAAAAGCTAACAGAAAATTCAGATTACTCACAAAGGCACTACAATCAAATTAGAAGCAGCAATCCTCATCCACCATGAATGCCAGAAAATAACGGAATAACACCTTCAGAGGACTGAGGAAAAATACTTGTCAGCCTAAAACATTGTACCCAGATAAACTGTCATTCAGGAGTAATAGCAAGACACAGTGAAGGAAGATGGAGTGGCCATCACCTTGGCCACTGAAAAGTCACCCAGCAGCCTCTGAAGGCCAAGAAGGACACAGCCAAAAGGTGTCCTAAGCCTGCAAATGAATGGATCAGAAGCTGAAGCTGGCTAAAGCAGCAGCTAGATCCGCTGAGTCAGCTTGGGGATGCCACTGTAGTTGCAGTGGAGAGGGAGCCTCAGGAGAGATGAGCATCCTCCATACCTACCTCAAGCAGAGCAGGGATGGTGTCCTGGATGCTTCTTGGCCTTTGTCTGTGGCATCTGGCCAGAAATCTATGAAAATTACTGTAATAAATAGAAAAGAAGGAGAAAGAAGTGTCTGTGCCATGGACCAGCATTTTAGATGCTCTTGTGTGTGAGCCTGCAGTTTTAATTTTTGTGAAAAGGCATTCTGTATTTCTGTATTTAAGAGTAGGCCGTTCCCTTCATTCTTTTTGGAGACTAATGAATCTGTCTAGTTGATTTGTACAGGCTTAGAGCTTATCCACAGATTCTGTCTTCTTACCTATTTCATGGGTACAAGTCATCTGTTCATCTTGTTTTTCTGTGCCTTTTAGCTCAAGCAGCAGAAAGAAATACAGCAATACTGCTATCTTGCATAGGTTTAAAACAAAAAAATTTTCTTTGAATAATAAAGGAATTAAATGTCATAATTCCCTCAAGCTTTCTTGAAGGTCAAGGGTTTTATCTATCTATGAAAAAAGTAAATACTTAAATTTGTAACCTCCTCTGTGAAGCAGCAGCTACCCAGGTAAGAATTAGAACATTTTCAATAGTACAGTAATTTGTTTGGGCTGCTTTTTAAAAGTGTCTCTATTATCATTTTACCAAAAAAAAAAAAAAAAGGAATATAATAAAAAGAGATATAAAATTGGAAATATAGGGACAAAATTATTCATTATTGGCAGATTGTTTTTCCTGATTGAAAAATAATCCGAGACTCAAATATCAAGCCTAAATAGTTAACCAAGGTTGTTGGATTTACAGTCAACATACAGAAATCAATAGCATTTCCTATATATCAGCAATAACCATTATTAAAAATTACAATAGGAGGGTTTCTTAAACAATACACAAAAAGCAAAAAAATGTTTAACTTCTGTATAGCAAAAAAATTCATAAGCAAAAATAAAAAAATATAAGTGACAACTAGAAGATACATGCAATGAATTTAATCAACAAAGGGCTAATTCTAAAATATATAAAGAACTACAATTCAATGGAAATATATAAAATAAAGAGAAAAACTGGGTAATGGAAATGAATAGACAGTGACAAAAGTTGAAACCACGTCAGCCAAGAAATACAGGAAAAAATACTTATGTTTATATTAGTTATTTCCCCCAATAAATCATCTTAGTTAAAAGGGGGAAATTATGATAACTATCAGACTTGTTGCGATCTAATTAAGATTTCTGAGAAAATTCTTATTTTCATGCTTTGGCATTTTTCTCTTTCAACATTATTTTTTGCATAAAGAGGCTCCATAGCCATTATACATGTCTTTTTCAGTATTTTTGTTTTAGAAGACATATATGTATCAGGAAGTAAGTGGAGGAGGGCTTAAACTTGTGTTTTCTTCAAAGCTATTACATACAAAAAGTTATAATGTAGAAATATATAAACTTTTTTGCGTGTAATTAATCAGTTTAGTAATCTCCACAGTCATTGATAACCATGTAGTAACTGATTGTCAGAACTTGGTGTATCAGCCAATATCTGTTAACAGTAAAAGCGGAGCCTGTTTTCCTGCGTTTATTGCCATTGGTATTTAAGCTATTGACTTCCTTTGCCCGGTTTTCTCTTTATTTTGTATTATTCTCATTGATTTGTACAGGTAGTCCCCGACTTAAGACGGGGTTCCATCTGACAGCTCTGTCGTAAGTCGGTTTCTGACGTAAGTGTAATACTTCTTTTTTTTTTTTAGTTTTTGTTATTATTGCTTTTTGTTATCAGTATCTTGTCTTTAGGGGTTGGAAACATTACATATAAACTTACAGATATATTTTAAGACATACACACATATATTACTAATGATAAGATGTACCCCCCAAAAAAGAAAGAAAAACAGTCGTAAACTGGGGACTACCTGTAGTTCTTTATCCAATCTGGGTATTAATCTTATGTTGATTAAATATATTGAAAATATCTTTTCCTAGTCGGTTTCTTATTTTTATCTTGTTTACATTATTTGGGGGGTGGATGCTACAGAGTTTTTTAATGTTGTTCAATTTATTTTTATGGGTATATGCTTTTTGTATCTTGTTTAGGAAGTATTTCCCTATTCTGAGGATGTAAACATAGAGTTTAGAGATTTTTCTCATTTAAGTTTTTAATTGACTTGAAATCTATTTAAAATACTACATAAGCGAAAGCACTCGTTTTTGTTAGTTGCCGTCGAGTCAGCTCCCACTCACGGTGACTTATGTACAACAGAACAAAAGTTGCACAGTCCTGCATCATTTTTATGCTCAAGTCCATTGCTGCGGCTGTTGTGACAATCCTTCTCACTAAGGGTTTCCCTAGTTTTCCCTGACCATCTGCTTTACCAGACATGATGTCCTTTTCTAGTGATTGGTCTTTCCTGATGATGTGTCCAAAGTAAGCAAGCTGAATCTTATTATCCTTGCTTCTAAGTAACATTCTGGTTGTATTTCTTCTAAGACTAATTTATTCATTCTCTGGCAGTCCACGGTATAGTCAATATTCTTTGCCAATTCCACAATTCAAATACATCAATTCTTCTACTTACTCTGAATTTATTCTTACAGGTGGTGCAGCTGAACAAGCTGGAATAATAGAAGCTGGAGATGAAATTCTTGCCATTAATGGAAAACCCCTGGTTGGGCTCATGCATTTTGATGCCTGGAATATTATGAAGTCTGTCCCAGAGGGACCTGTGCAATTAGTAATTAGAAAGCACAGAAATGCTTCATGAAACAGGCATGTACCACTAGTGCTTGTTACATTTTTTTAAAATCTTTTCTCAGTTGCTTTCTTACTTTAGAAAATCAAAGTGATTTCTTTAAATGATGGGATCCTGAAATAACAAAGAGAAACATTTGTGTTGGCAAGGACTATAAAAATCTCCAAGTTTTGACACATACATGAAGCCTGCCGCATTGTGTGTGCTGCAGCAATGAAGTTGTACTCTGGAATCTTCCACCTGGATCGCTAGGCCGGGAAGGTTCATTTTAGTTTTTGTTTGAGTGCCTGTCACCAGCCTTTTATGTTTGCTGATGGGGGTGCAAGATGTGACTTGCCCTTCTTCATCTGAAACACTTAACGACACTTTTGTGCCCCTCTTGCCACCTCTCCCCACATACCCAATCCTGGTGATTAAGAAGCTCCTGAAGTCTGAGGGCACCACAAATGTCACAACTAAAAGGACTATCGTTTCATATATTTTGTAAGTAAATAACAGTGCTTTTAGGCACATTTAATACAAGGAGAAGCTATAGATTTGTATACATTACCCTGAAAAGTAAATGAGACTTTAAAAAGAAAATGAATTATGACCTAATAGTGGGGGACTTCAGGATTCTCTGGAAAAAAAAAAAAAGCCAAATAGATAAAGTAATATTTTTTAGTGAGCATAATGTGCAATGTATGGGTGCAGAGTTTAGCTGTGTGGGGTCATTGGTCCTCCTGACGGTTGACCATTTTCTGTCTCTAGAAGTAGAAGCCGAGAGGCTGTCTTCCAGAGCAGCAGCTCCACTGCAGTGCACTAAGCAGCCATGAATGTCCCTGCTCAGAAAGAGCAGAGTCCCAGATTTGAAAGCACCTTGCCTCTCGTTTGCCAGCTTGTCCTCAATAAGTGCTGGTCAACACAGGAGTTGTCAAAAACATTAGTCACTGGGTTTCCATTTCTATACGTTATGCACCAAGCACTACTTAAAATTTTAGAAGTCAAGTATCCTTTTAGGGGACTTTTTTTGTTGGGTTGGGTTTTCCCCTCTTTCCTGACATACTTAAGAAATGTAATGTTTCTGAGGATTGGATCTCTTTTCCTACCCTGGGCATAATGACACAGCTCTGCAGTGACTGAAGTTTTTGCTGTTTTCACTTGTTTACCTGTTTTTGCAAATTTCTCCTTTTGCCAAAAAAATGTCTCCTTGCAGAAGACGTTGTGACTCATGCTGCTTGTGACTCATCCTGGCTCTGCCTCCTTTCGAAGCACAGGCTTCATGATAGCCATTCCTATTTGATGTGCCGGTCGTTGTCACAGACTGACTTTTCTTCAATAGACTCCAAACCTTCATCAGCTTCATTTACCAAAATGTAATACCACAGAGGAGGAAAATGGAGAAACAGGGTCAGTCACCCTTTCAAGGTAAAGGAGCAGAACTACATAGTTACACCCCCAGTCCTTGGTGGCGCAGACTAACTGGGGACGTGGGCGGAGGGTACATCTGTTGTACCCACACACGATGACAGTAAGTTTTATGTTTGTGATTTCTTTAAATAACCTACAGCTTAGAGAAGAGAACTCAGAGGTCATGATACCCCCGGATCATGGAGGTGCTTGAGCTGTCACCTTTTGTACACCATTTTTCTGAATGACCATTCCCAAGGGATTGACTCTGAAGGTCTGTGGAGTCGCCCCAGAGAGGTTCTTCAAATGGAAGTGAAACTAGATCTGGCTTGTCTAAAGCCAGATTTCTCATTTTATTACAGTTTATACAAAGGAGAATGCAGTACAGGACTTAGCTAGAAAGACCTAATCAATGTAGCTTCTACTTTTCACTAAAATTACAGGTAGGATACTATAGGAAGTCAGTGCAAGGTGCATGCTAGATTTTTTTTTTTTAAGTCTCTGGGGTCAGTTTCCTGGTTTCTGCTTTCTTGCCTAAATGACAAGACACTATTTGAAGTCAACACTGAAAACTATTACCTCCATGCTTACACAGCTCTGCCTACTATTAAGAAATGCACACTCATGTGAACAGATAGAAACTTCTAGAGCAATGAGAGTCCCTAATCCTCATTTCTACAGAGTACAAGGAAGGGTAGATGGGCCTCTTGCTTCCTGAACTTAAAACCATCAGCCATTTCTACTAGATCTTGCCAGAAGGATTCACTGGCTGACAGTTGGAATTTAAGGGAAGAAGCAAAAGCTGTGTCTTTGACCCTACAATAGAAAGCTGTTTTTTTTTTTTTTTTGTCTTCAGTGTTCAAGGCATGACTAGTATACTAATTAGGCTAATAAACTCCCACACGTCCTGAAGTGTACACTAATGGTATTGTCCCACTAAAACTGTTGTTGTTTTGGTTTTTTAACTGGTCATTCACAATAAGCTATGAGGGTAAATATGTGTTATAACATGTAAATCATAGTTGCAAGAATATACCGTGAAGGTTGAAACAGGTTGCGTTTCATTTCCATCCTCCCCACCACATCTCATTTAATTTTATGGTTGACTTCATTGGCACCACAATTGTTGTATATTATACATTATCCTTTATTTATGTAAAATGAAATGCTTTATATATTAAAGAGTAAGTGCAATAATATGAAATAGCCTGTACATTTTTAAGATGTCGTCGCCAAGTTATGTAAATCCACATCTCTGTAAACAGCCTTTTTTTAAGTAATTTTAAAGAAATAAACACTCTGCTTAGTACTTGCTTTTTTCTGCTTAGTACTTGCTTTTTGTTTCATTGTTTTTGCATCTCTAGAGTAACCTTTTAAAATATCACTGTAAGAAATGTTTATTATTACCTAAGTAGAACTGCCCTGTAGAGTTTCTAAGGAGTGGCTGGTGGCTTTGAACTGCTGACCTTAGCAGCCATAGCTCACCGTAGCTTTTAACCACTACACCACCAGGGCTCCAAGTATTACTTAAACTATTACCTAAAAATAAGGAGTACAAAGGCAATAGAAGTCAAGTCAGTTACTGTTTTCGATGGCCATTCTCAGGATCTTGACACCATCCAAAACCTTAAAATCAGACATCCCATTCTTTGACCACAACTTCCTGATCTTCTAAGTCATACTCACTGTGATCGTTAAGGTTTGTGTCAACTTGGCTGGGCTGTGATTCTTAGTGGTTTGGCAGTTGTATGATGTGCGATCACGTCCATGATGATGGGATCTGCTGTGAGTAGCCACTCATTTGAAAGCGAGTTTCCTTGAGGGTGTGGTCTGCTTCAAATATAAATGGACAGTGGCTGCACTACAGCCCCTTTCTGGGACCTCCCTGAAGGACAGTGATGAAGGGAAATTGCCAGATGTGCAATTCTATACTGCACATCTGGCCAATGGTTTGGCTGGATGGTCAGGGACTTGGAAGGAACATGACTGGAAAATTGGAGACAAGGAGGTATGGGAAGAGGTATGCGGACAGACCTCTCTAAATAGGCCAAAGTAGTGAAGATATTTGTGTCTCATGCGAACGCTCACGAAAGGGTAACCTCAGCAGAGAAGAAAAAGCAGTTCATAGAGAAGGAATATCTTGTTCAAAGGTTCTGTGGATGGAAAGAAAATGGTTGTAGTGGAGAGCTAGGCAGAGTGACTTGAGAAAGGCAGGGATAATGCCTATAGGGCTCTGGTTATGATCAGAGAAGAGATTTAAACAGGCAAATAACATGATTAGAATTACATTTTGAGAAGATCACTTTGGTTATAGTATGAAGATAGAATACCGGGGCCCCATACCACCAAGAAGCAAGAGCCAGGAGAATAGCGCATCCTTTGGGCCCAGGGTCCCTGCACTGAGAAGCTCATTTACCAGGGAAGATTGATGACAGGGACCTTCCCCCCAGAGCCGACAGAAAGAGAAAGCCCTCCCCTGAAGCTGGCACCCTGAATCCAGATTTCTAGACTCCTAGACTGTGAAAGAATAAATCTCTTTGTTAAAGCCATCCACTTGTGGTATTTCTGTTACAGCAGCACTAGATAACTAAGACATTCCCCTTTCTCCACCTCCATTGTCTTATCAGCCAATCCTTCCAACCAGCCATCTTGATTCCTGTGCCCCTATTCCTACAGAAAAATCACACAGCCTGATACTATTGAAAATTATAAAACATTGCTGAACAATTAAAGATGACCTAAATAAATGTTGTTAAGATGATACTCCATGTTAATGAAGACTTCTTAATATTATTAAGATGCCCCTACTACTCGAAGCAATCTATAGAGTCAACACAATCCCAAAATTCCAACAGCCTTCTTGACAGAAATGGAAAAACCAATCCTCAGTTTTATATGAAATGCAAAGAAGCCCCAAATAGCCAAAGTAATTTTGAAAAAAAAAAGGAGGAGGAGTCACATTTCCTGATTTCAAAACATGGTATAAAGCTACAATAATCCAAACAGTCTGGTACTGGTATAATAATAGACACATAGACCAATGGAATAGAATTGGAAGTCTAGAAATCCATAAATAAATCCATACATCTGTGCTCAACTGATTTTCAACAAGGGTGCTCTTCAATAAACGGTGCTAGAAAAATTGGATTTCAACATGCAGAATAAAAAATTAGAATCTATGCCTCATACCATACACAAATTTAAAATGGATCAAGAACCTAAATGTGAAAACTAAAACCATAAAATGCTTTTGGAAGAAAATGTAGTGGCATGGCTGCAGAGCCTAGTTTTTAACAAACAATGGATTATCACATACAATAACAAAAGCACAAGAAGCAAAGGACAAAATAGAGCCTCATAAAAAATACTTCCGTTTATCATAGGATTTTATCAAAAAATGTGAAAAGACAACCTGTAGACTGGGATAAAATTTTTCAGAAATCATATATCCATTAAGGGTCTAATATTTAATAAGAATCGAATATCCAAAATATACATAAAACTTCTACAAACTTAAGAAAAAGATAAATAGTCCAATAAAAAAATGGCAAAGGATTTGAACGGACATTTCACTGAAGAGGTTGTTCATATGGCCAACAAACACATGAAAAAGTGCTCAACTGTACTGGCCATCAGAGAGATTCAAATCAAAACCACTTCACTCTCACTGGGATGGCTAGCATTTAAAAAAAAAGGGAAAACAAATGTTGGCCAGCATGTGGAGAAACTGGAACCCTTACACACTGCTGGTGCGAACGCAAAGTGTTACAGCCGCTGTGGGAAACAGTTTGGTGATTACTCAAAAAGTTACATTACTGTTGTTGTTAGATGCTGTCGAGTCGACAGTGACCCTGTGTACAACCGAAGGAAACACTGCCGGGTTCTGTGCCATCCTCACAATCATTGTTACGCTTGAGCCCACTGTTAGCAGCCACTGTGTCAGTTCATCTCGTTGAGGGTCTTCCTCTTTTTTGCTGACTCTCTACCAAGCATGACGTCCTTCTCCAGGGACTGGTCCTTCCTAATAACACATCCAAAGCATGTGAGATGAAGTCTCGCCATCCACGCTTCTAATGAGTATTCTAGCTGTACTTCTTCCAAGACAGATTTGTTTGTTCTTCTGGCAGTCCACAGTATATTCAATATTCTTCACCAATACCATAATTCAAAGGCATCAATTCTTATTCAGTCTTTCTTATTCACTGTCCAGCTTTCACATGCATATGAGGCAACTGAAAACACCATGGCTTGGGTCAGGCGCACCTTAGTCCTTAGCGTGACATCTTTGCTTTTTAACACTTTAGAAAGATCTTTTGCAGCAGATTTGCCCAGTGCAATGCGTCTTTTGACTTCTTGACTGCTGCTTCCATAGGTGTTGATTGTGGACTCAAGGAAAATGAAATCTTTGACGACTTCAATATTTTCTCCATTTGTCACAATGTTGCTTATCGGTCCAGTTGTGAGGATTTTTTTTTTCTTGATGTTGAGGTGTAATCCATACTGAAGGCTGTGGTCTTTGATCTTCACCAGTAAGTGCTTCAAGTCTTCTTCACTTTCAGCAAGCAAGGTTGTGTCATCTGCATATCGCAGGTTGTTAATGAGCCTTCCTCCAATCCTGATGCCACGTTCTTCTTCGTATAGTCCAGCTTCTAGGATTATTTGGTGAGCATACAGATTAAGTACGGTGAAAAGATATAACCCTGATGCACATCTTTCCTGATTTTAAACCACAAGTATCCCCTTGTTCTGTCTGAATGACTGCCTCTTGGTCTAAGTACAGGTTCCTCATGAGTACAATTAAGTGTTCTGGAATTCCCATTCTTTGTAATATTATCCATAATTTGTTATGATCTAGAGTGTCAAATGCCTTTACATAGTCAATAAAACACAGGTAAACATCTTTCTGATATTCTCTGCTTTGAGCCATGATCCATCTGACATCAGCAATGATATTCTTTGTTCCACATCCTATAGTACCATTAAACCAAAAAAAAACCAAACCCATTGCCATCAAGTAGATTCCAACTCATAGCAACCCTATAGGACAGAGTAGAACTCCCCCATATAGTTTCCAAGGAGCTGGTAGGTTTGAACTGCCAACCTTTTGGTTAGCAGCCATGCTCTTAACCACTGCGCCACCAGGGCTTCATACTACCTTTATGACCCAGCAATTCCACTCCTAAGTATATCCTCAAGAGAACTGAAACAGGCAATGTAAATAGATATATGTACATCAGTGTTCATTGCTGCATTAATCACTAAACAAAAGGTAGAAACAACCCAAATGTCCATCAACAGATGAATGGATATACAAAATGCAGTACATGCATACAACGGAATACTACTGAGCCATAGAGAGAAATGAAGTTCTGATACATGGTACTGCATGGATGAACCCTGAAAACATGTTGAGTGAAATAAGTCAGTCACAAAAGGACAAATATTGTATGATCTCACTTATATAAGAATAAGCAAATGTATACAGTCCAAAGTTTGTTAGTGGTTACCAGGGGCAGGAGGGACAGGGAAAGGGAGAGTCACTGTTCAGAAAGCAGTTTCTGTTTATGGTGATGGAAAATTTGGCAAAGATTATGGTGATGATTGCACACGATTAATGTAATTGATGTCACTACACTATATACCTGAAAAGTGTTGAAGTGGCAAATATTATATATATTTTTGCAACAATAAAAAAACCATGGTTCCCAACCTCAACTGGACCCTTGATGCTGCTTGGCAATTGTTTCCCTTCTTCATAATGACTACATTCTTCATTTTCCTCAAAGCCTCTACCTGGCCATTATGAACTTCGATGATCTGGGTTCCTGTTTCACAGAATGAAATAAAAACATTTACTTGACTTAGGCTCTTTTGGTTTTAGGATACAGACACTAGCCTAGGGTAGCCCAAGTAGGAAGGCAAGTTGGAATCTCACAGAAATCCAGTATGGAACCCGGCATATGATCAGGCCATGAACTCTGGGATTCATGATCTTCATTCACCTAGTGTACCTCTGCTGGTAAGACGCGCTGCTGTCTGTGGGTCTGTTTCCCCCCACTCTTCACCTTTTCTTTATCTAGAAATTTCTGCCTCCTAAGGATGCTGCTTTGTCGTAATTTGCCCTACTCTGTATCACAGAGTTTCTGTTGCCTGCCTGATTTTCCATATACATCCCCATAGTATGATTCTGATGGGCTCAGCATACTCCTATTTGAGTAGAACTGTTTCCTGAGAGAGTGCTTGTTTACATAACTCTCCCTGAAGCCCACTAAAATGCATACAAAGAGGACAATTCTATTTTTAATATGGAAAAAGCCACAAACCCATTGTATGACTTGAAGACTACCTACCATGTACAGTGAAATTGAGCCCAAACTGAAGAACAATGAAATTGGATGCAATTTCCTCTGAATAGGAGATACAGCACAGGTACTGTGAAATGAGAGTTCAACAAACCCTTAGCTTGGAGAAGGGACTGCAGGAGACAGTGGGTCCCAGAAAAAAACAGGAAGCACCCAGAGGGGAAGGTGAGGTTGAAGAAAGGGCTTATTTTCATTTTATCAGGTGCTTTGGTGGTTAGGCTAGGCAGATCAGAGGAGAAATAGGCAAGGAATGGTCTGATCTGAGGGGAGCTCCTGTAAAAGGGCTCAAAGGATTCAGTGAGACACCTACCCAACTCAATTCCTCAAAGCCCCCAAAAGGCCACAGCAACTGGCACAAAAGTTTAAGCACTGGACTACTACCTGAAAGGTTGGTGGTTCAAAACCACCCAGAGGCACCTCGGAAGACAGGCCTGGCAATCTGCTCCCCAAAGGTCACAGCCTTGAAAACCCTATGGAGCAGTTCTACTCAGCACACATGGGGGTCACCATGAGTCAGAACTGATTCGACGGCAACTAACAACAACCACAACCACCACCACTCCACATACCACCCTTCCAAGTCCCCCAAAGCAGAGTATCTGAATAGAGATTAAAATTAGCTAGTATACAACCTGCCCTCTCTCCTAAAGGATGAACTGAACAATGCTTAAACAGAGAGCTATAAAGGATAATGCATCCGTTATTGACCAATCTTAAACAAATGATAGGTTGGAGGTAGCTAGAACCTCCTACTTCCCCCCATTAAACAGATTCAATAAGGGTCCTACTCAGGAATACAGAACTGGGAAAGGGAAGGGAGGAGAACAGGGAGAAGGGGAGATGAAATATATAAAAGACATACATAAAAAATATAATTTGGAAGACTGCCTTGGGAATCTAAAGAAAATTTTAACAAATGTTTTGTATTCTCAATGTACTTAAAGAGAATGTGGCTTCTAAGAAGCACAAGAGCAAAGAAAAGAAAACCAAATGAGATTAATATGGATCTGGTAGAAGAAAAGAAATTGGAGAGACCACCTTTACCAAATCAAACCAAAAGCCCTATTACAATATCAAGTTAA